AACAAAAAAGCATACTATGTGTTATCTCCAAATCAATCTACTAGAATATTATAGTAATACGGTGTTGAACACAATTAACTCTTAAACTGTTTAAGTTCAATTATTTGTATTGCTCATTGTTTACAATATTTATTTTTTGACATTATGTGATTCAAACTGTTTAACTTCAATTATTTGTATTGCTCATGGAGGGGACAATATAGTTGTGATAATTTCAATATGGATTATAAAACTCTGCATATTATCAGAATGACATAATTCTATCAGAATACTCTACCAATATGACTTATAAAACTTATCAATTTGTATTACCTCGATTCAATGCACACATTGAATATCATTCTGAAAGAATTATATAGCAATATGTCTACCAAAAAAGCATACTATGTGTTATCTCCAAATCAATCTACTAGAATATTATAGTAATATGGTGCTGAACACAATTAACTCTTAAACTGTTTAAGTTCAATTATTTGTATTGCTCATTGTTTACCATATTTATTTTTTGACATTATGTGATTTGAATATATGAAACATCATACATATTTTATGAAATATAATGAACATTATTTTTTGACATTATGTTGGATTTAGAACTGTAGTGTTTTCATCTGATATTATGTTGGAATGATATATTGTATTATCCTACGAAACATAAATATACCAGAAACAACATACATCTTATTAGTTGTAAACATAATAATTAAAGGAAAACACCTAGAATTCATCAAACAATAATTTTATTACACTGAACTGAAACTTGATAATACCATATAATTCATCAAAAACATACTTTTATTTTACTGAAATCAAAGTAAATAATATATAAAAACGACTAATTTGATGAATTTCTTGTAGTTCTATTCTTTCTTCAATCCAAAAGGACAGTTCCTGCTATCATGACCAATTCCAAAGCATTTTTTACATCTTCTTTTTTTCTTCACAACTTCATTCACCGGGTTCTTGGGATCATTGACATTACCCAAATCTTTCCCGGGATTTTGATCTTCATTTTCCTGGAAGATTATCAGATTTGATACATATGTATATGTAAAAATAGTTAAAGGGTGTGTGGGGGACGTTTCAAAAATATCTTCATTATCATAGAGAGATGTTGTTAGTAATGTATGAATACCTGGTTCCGATTTCCAGTATGAACATCCATCGATTGTGTAAAACAAATTGACCAGCAGCTAATGGAATCGACAATTGTGTTCTGTGAATGGAATCGACAAATGTGTTCTGTGAGGGGGGACGTTTGTATATAAATAAAACTATATTAATGATAACTAAATCAATCATAAATCATTGCCTAATATAAAGGGATAAGAATCAGATTAAATAAAGAATTAAAATGAAAGATTACATAATTACCCTCAAATAATAAATAAAATAATTAATAATTTGCTAAATTCTAATTGGTGCATTTAGGCACACAATACTTGTTAAAAACATTTGAACCTAACTCTCTCTCTCTCTCTCTCTCTCTCTCTCTCTCTATATATATATATATATATATATATATATATATATATATATATATATATATATATATATAGGGTTAGGTTCATGTGAGACGGCCTAATTTTGTGAGACCGTGAGACGTATTTTTTTATTTTTTTTTAGTTAATTCAAGTTCCGAAAATAATATTTAAAAAAAGAATTTTTGGATTTTTCCATTTATTTTGCATTTTAAAATTATTTTTTAGAATATGTACAGTGTAATATTCTATTAGAATATTTCACGTATTTTTCAAAAAAAATGGGATTTTTTTTATTTTTTTTTATTTTTTTTAGTTAATTCAAGTTCCGAAAATAATATTTAAAAAAAGAATTTTTAGATTTTTCCATTTATTTTGCATTTTAAAATTATTTTTTAGAATATGTCAGTGTAATATTCTATTAGAATATTTCACGTATTTTTCAAAAAAAACGGGATTTTTTATTATTTTTTTTTTATTTTTTTAGTTAATTCAAGTTCCGAAAATAATATTTAAAAAAAGATTTTTAGATTTTTCCATTTATTTTGCATTTTAAAATTATTTTTAGATTTGGTCTCACGGTCTCATAAAATTAGAATGGTCTCAAATGAACCTGAACCTATATATATATATATATATATATATATATATATATATATATATATATATATATATATATATATATATATATATATATATATAATCTTTGAATACATACCTATAAAATAAAATTCTTAGGGCTTAGGAGGGATGATGGGAACAAAATCCAAACTCAAACATGTAAAAATCAAACAAGAAGAGTTTAAAATTTCAAATGTCTCGGTCTTTTATATTGATCTAAAGCAATAAAAACCCATAAGCAAACAAAAAAAATGATAGGAAAATGCTTACTCGTTCAAGTGTCAGTGACGACATCAATTTTTGAGGTTAAAGAACTGGAGACTGATTTAGGTATTAGGTCATTTTAATTTCGATTACATTGAGATAATGAGGACGATAAAAAAATTGATTGGAGAAATTGCAAAAAGGATTGAAAAACATACCAAATGAAGGTTGATGACTCACAAATTAGGAACGGGAGAGATGAATCAATGGAATACTCTTGAAATCGATGGGGATGGAGGTCTATATGAAATCGACAGACTACGCTATCTGATTCAAAACTGAAAGAAGATATTTCCTGGTTTATTGGGATTACATTGATAGTCTATGATTTTGAATGTTTATTTTAAGGAAAATTAAATGGAATCCGAGTATAGACGGAGGTTTAATATATTTAAGTGGGAAACAAAAAATTGAGTTAACCACATTAAGACACGTGGACATAACAAAAATTAAGTTAACCACATGAAGACACATGGACATAAAGCTACTCTTTTATTAATTAGGGTAGAGGTAGATTAGGGTAGATTAGCTAACATTATCGTGTTTGAATATACACTTTCCAAAATCTGTGATTTGATGGGTATCATGAAATCTGATTTGGGATAATCTAAGAATAATCGATTTGGAATTCAGGCTTCTTCCAAATCCAAAAAACAAAATATACATTGTTGTTTTGCATTTTTAGAGAGACCGAGAGTTGCAGAGAAATAAGATTTCGGATATTGTATCTTGTCACATCTAAATGGAACGTCCATCATCCTTTTATATGTAGAAGATGACGGTTTTAAGAGAAAATTGTCGCCATATCATGATGATTTAATTATTAGGTTTTTGGTGGGAAAATATTCGTTTTTCTGAAGATGAAGGGAAGATAGAAATTTTCGACAGATTCAATTGGATTGATTGTTGTATCCTCATGGCAGATACATACCGGGGAAATTTCTGTCTTAGAACACTGCTTGCAGGCCTCAATCTTTTATAATTTCGTTTGTATTCAGTTATGTGTAACACATTCAAGTATGCTTTTCTTGTGAATTACTTCTTGTATTTATATTAGATTTGAAGTTTGTTTGTTATATATTTGTTATTTAGTTGATTGTTTACTTCTATCATAACAACACCAACATGAATTTTAAGCACCAGACAACCCCCCTCCCCAGGATCAATTGCACCAGTTTTCCATTGTAGGTTTGAATCTACTACCTCTGTTATTTACCCAGTTGAAGGATAGCAATTAAATCTCATCAAACACTTTATCTTGATGATTAAAAACTCTGGAATTGCGTGTTTTCCAAAAAGACCATATAACTTTATAATAGCACAAGGCTCACAACAATTCTACTTTCATACCCCCGTTTGGAGAAGTACGCAACATCCTTTAAGAATACCAGGGTTTCGACACCATTGACAAAACCAATTCCAAATTCCCAAGTGCAGAAACCACAACCAAATCATGCTGAATATGGAAATTCATATTGAATACATCAGAAACCGCTGTCATATCATTTGAATCCAACCAAATGTGAGTTTAATGAATATTAACGGTTTAGGATCATTTGTACATGTTAGTGGCAAAATTATGAGTTTTAACGAATAGTAACTTTTTGATGAAATGCCTGAATGTTTTTTTTTTTTTGTATATAATGCCACGTCAGTTGTATGAGACCAGATGCATACCAATAACTAAAAGCATGTAAGCAGTGGCGGACGCAGACTGTTTTAGTAGGGGTGTCCCTCGTATTTCAAGCGGGTGCACCTAATAGAAAAAACTAAAAAAAAAAAAGAAATTTACACTGTGTGCCGGAAATTGAGCAGTGGCCCGGGACCCCAAATGCCCCACTAAGGTCCGCCGCTGCATGTACGTTTTAGTTGAACTATTTAGTTAGTTATCTTGTGTAAATGTTTTAGGCTGTCAAATTTGGAATTCAATAGCTCAAAAGCTTGCTAGGAATGGACTGTGGGTCAAAAATGCTCCAGAATGTTTAAAATGCATTGATATATGATTTTTTTTTCTTAATATTTAAAATTTTCCATCTTTGTAAAGACACATCTCATCTATAATACCATGTGGTTGATAAAATTCTCCAATGACATATCTCACCATTAGTTTTGATTGCTCATCATAAATCTAGAATAGAAATATATTTTGTATATATTTGAATGACTTAGGTGGGGTATGGGTTGTATAACATGATGTACGACCCAAATTATGGCCCATGTATCAAATTAACCACATGTTTACCCACATTTTGTGCGAGGATAAAATCGTATGGTAATATTGACATATATTTTTTTTCAAAAGTATAACATCGTTATAATTAATTATTCATTTTAAAATATGTAACTTACTGAATAAATAAAACTTGAAACCAATATAAAAAGCATACCAACAAAATTTAACAAAATTTCTTGTTTTGAGGGATGCATGTATGGGGTTGTCCTTGATTTCCAGTAGTGTGTTTTTAGAAGTATACCAATCTTCATTGACTGGTTTCTTTACTACTACAAACATATGTTAAGTTTCTTCAAAAAAAAAGCCATTCAAATGAATAGATATTGGCAAGGTGCATATAGGGAACTTGAGAAAAAGTAAAGAACACTGAAAATACACTATATTATTCAGGCAAGAGATGTCAATTCAAAGCAGATCCTTCATCAACCGATTTGAAACTTGTTGCATTGTTGGTCTTTCAAGTGGATTGGAGTTCAAACATGCTCTTGTGAGACTCAGAACCGACCTAACTTGTTTCTCAACTTGTGATGAGGGAGGAGGTATCCGACTATCTTCCACATTTTCTGGCACCAGATGATCAGCAGACAATGTTGGTAACGATGTTATCAGTTCTCCAGGATGCTTTCCCATTACAACTTCTAGTGCAACAACTCCAAAGCTATACACATCGCATTTCTCATTTGCCACCATCGTATAAGCAAGTTCTACATCCAATGGAACATGAGATAAAAACAAAAAAAGCTATATCAACCCCACAAGATTCTAACATAGATACATGTATGTGCATATACTTATTTATATATATATATATATATATATATATATATATATATATATATATATATATATATATATATATATATATCATGAAACTTAAAAAGATGTAGAAGTACGGTCACAAGATTGTGTTACCTGGTGCAATATAACCATAGGTGCCTGCAATTGCGGTCCAGTTCGATGAATCGAGCTTTAAAAGCTTCAATGTGCCAAAATCAGAAATATGTGCTTCATAATCAGAGTCGAGAAGGATGTTGGCTATGGATATGTCTCTATGAATTATAGGAGGTGAGCGGTCGTGATGCATATAAGCCAAACCATTAGCTACACCCTTTACAATATTTACCCTTTTCAACCAATCCAATTCTTTTGCTAAGACATCGCTTCTTAAGAATGATCCAAGGCTTCCATTTTCAAGGTATTCATAAATCAAAAATGAGTGGCGGGCATGGGAGCAATATCCATAAAGTTTCACTATGTTTCGATGCCTTATGTTCGTTAATGCTCGTACCTCATTAAGGAATCCATTATGGTCAACATTCTCACACCCTGAGTGGAGTTTCTTGACAGCTACCACATTATTAGGTTGTAGCTCGGCTTTGTACACAGTCCCATATCCTCCGTTCCCAATGGAGTATGCTTCATCAAAATTAGTTGCTTTCAAGATGTCATCATACACTACTGCTCCATCAAAACTTGTAATAGAGAAATAATCACCAGTTTCATCGTCCGATGGTTTTTGTGGAGACTTTTTCTTTTGTTGTTGATAAGCAATAAGGCCATATGTGCATACACCAAGTAAAACAGCCCCGATAAGGGGGAGCATAATCACAAGGACAAGTTTATGATGAAAGGGATCATTTTTCTTTTTCATAATTTGAGTTTGACAAAGTTTCACTCCCGTAATATTCCCACACAAATTTGGATTGCTTTCTATGGACGCATTCACAAAGTTAGCGGAAAGGGGGACTGGACCTGAGAGCCTATTGAAAGAAAGGTTGATATCAATACCACGAGGCAAATTTACAAAAGCATCAGGAATAGAACCAGATAGTCTATTGTGAGAAAGATCCAATTTTTGCAAACTCTGCAAACTTTGTACTTCAGATGGTATCTCTTTTGTGAGAAAATTATGAGATAAATCAAGTTCCGTAAGATGAACTAATTTACCAATCTCGGATGGAATTTTCTCACTGAGCTTGTTATTACTAAGATTCAAGTAGTGGATGTGTGCCCATTGATCTATACTTCTTGGAATTGTCCCATTCAATCTATTTTTGGATAGATCAAGTACTTCAAGGAGTTCACAAAATCCAAGCTCTAGAGGTATAACACCTGAAAGTTGGTTGCCAGACAAGTACAATTCCAACATAAGTATCATCTTCCCAAACTCCTTTGGGATCTCACCAACCAAATGATTTGAAGACAGATTAAGTCTGTGTAGTTGAGTTAAATTTCCAAATTCTGGAGGAAGAGAACCAGTAATTTGATTGTTGTTCACATGAAAGTCAGTGAGATACTTCAATTTCCCAAGTTCACTAGAATGGGGCCAGCAAGCTCATTGTGACCCATATAAAGGAAATTTAAAGATGTCAAATTACCAAATGATGAAGGAATAAAACCACTAAGCTGATTTCTGCCCACCGAAAGATGGGTGAGAGACTTCAACATCCCAATTTCACTAGGAATGTGACCAGATAATTTATTCTCAACTAGGGCCAGCCACCGTATGTTGCTCGGATTTGCTAGTGATGAAGGAATAGAACCATTAAGTTGATTACCACGCAGAGCAAGATCGGTGAGAGACTTCAAATTCCCAAGTTCAATAGGAATGGGACCTGAGAGATGATTCTGGTGCAAATAAAGGACATTCAAAGATGTCAAATCACCAAATGATGAAGGAATAGAGCCATTAAGTTGATTCTCACTCACAACAAGATGGGTGAGAGACTTCAAATTCCCAAGTTCTACAGGAATGGGACCAGAGAGTTGATTTTGAAACAAATAAAGGAAATTCAAAGATGTCAAATTACCCAATGATGAAGGAATAGAACCATTAAGTTGATTGACGCTCAACTGAAGATCAGTGAGAGACTTCAGATTCCCAAGTTCAGCTGGAATTTTACCAGATAGTTGATTTTGGTACAAATAAAGGAGATTCAAAGATGTCAAATTACCCAATGATGAAGGAATAGAACCAGTAAGTTGATTTTTGTACACCGCAAGATGAGTGAGAGACTTCAGATTTCCAATTTCAATAGGAATGGGACCAGAGAGTTGATTTTGATGCAAACAAAGGACAATCAAAGATGTCAAATCACCCAATGATGAAGGAATTGAGCCAGATATATTGTTTGAGTTTAGGTACAAGATGGATAGTTGGTGCAGGGTTCCAATTTCAGGTGGGATTACTCCAGAAAACTTATTCTCTGTAAAATCAAGATATACAAGTTTGGACAAAAGTTGGATTTCTGGTGGGATGGGGCCAAAGAGGTTGTTTAGGCTGAGATCAAAATGTGTAAGATTGTGTAGCAAAGAGAATGAAAATTGATGAAGCGTACCCTTTAATCCAGATGAATTGAGGTTCAACTTCTGAATGCTCCCATCAGCATTGCAAACTACTCCAAACCAAGAAGTGCACGGAACCGATGCACTGGAATTCAAAGGGATGGGAATCCATGAAGAGAGCAAGGAGTTTTTTGGGATTTCAAGGCTTTCTTTCCATTTAAGAAGAGCATCGGCTTCCTCCAAAGAAGCAGAAGTGAAATTTGGTATCGGGGAGAGTGTGATGATAAGTAGAGTTATAGAGAAAAATAACAAGTTTGAAGTAAACGAATTGTGATATCAAAGGTTTTTGATATCTTCTACAGAGGATACAGAGGATACATATACAGCAAAATATTACATCACAAAGGGAAAGAGCCTATCACAATAATTACGGATGGAATTAAAGACCCTAAGTGAGGAAAGAGAATATATGGTGGAGAGAAAATAATTAGTTTCCAATACTCCCCCTCAAGTTGGCGCATGTAGATTTCGAATGCCCAACTTGACTAACAATTCACGAAGGGGGTGAGAACCAAGAGGTTTCGTGAATAAATCTGCCACTTGCTGTTTGGAGTTGATGAATACGGGCTCAACTTCCTTTCGTTCAACACGCTCACGGACAAAATAGCAATCCATTTTAACGTGTTTTGTCCGTTCATGGAAAACGGGATTGTTAGCTATGTGTTTAGCCGCTTGATTATCACATAACAGTTGTGTTGGACCGGTTGCAGCAACGTTAAGCTCTTTCAGTAACCAACGAACCCATATAATTTCACTAACGGATGTAGCCATGGCCCGATATTCCGCCTCGGCAGAAGAGCGCGACACCACCGATTGTTTCTTGGATTTCCAAGATATTGGAGCTCCTCCCAACAAGAGTACATAGCCCGTTCTAGATCGCCTACTAAGAGGGCATCCAAGCCAATCCGCGTCACAATAGGCTACAAGATTAACATCATCTCCCTTCGGTAAGAGAATGCCTTGACCAACGATGATTTTAAGATATCTCAGTACCCCGGTTTGCAGCTTCCATATGATTATGTCTTGGATCCCCCAACGAATTGACTTAAGATATTCACAGAATATGCTATGTCTGGGCGAGTAACTTGTAGATAAAGCAGACGACCCACAAGTCTCCGATATTTACCAGCATCAACCTTTTCTTCTTCTTCTCCTTTGTCGAGTTTTAGGTTCTGCTCCATGGGAAACGAACTGGGTCTGCATCCTTTCATTCCACTATCTTCAAGAATGTCCAGAGTGCACTTTCGTTGGCTTAGAACCAAACCTTCGGATGTTCTTGCAACTTCTATTACTAAGAAGTACTTCAAAGGACCAAGGTCCTTTATGCTGAATTCTTTGTCTAGATGGTTCTTTGTTCTTGCAATATGCTCTGTATTGTTTCCTACAATAATCACATCATCCACATATATGAGGGCTCCCACATATATTCCTGCATTTTCATAAATGAACAACGAGTGATCTGCCTTTGATTGCTTGTAACCAAGACCTGTGAGCGATTTCGTGAACTTGTGATACCAATTTCGTGACGCTTGCTTCAACCCATAGATTGACTTCTTGAGTTTGCAAACTCTTGTTTCATTATCGCTTGAGAATCCTTGTGGGATCTTCATATAAACTTCTTCTTCAAGATCACCATGCAAGAAGGCGTTGTTCACATCAAGTTGTTGAATCTCCCATCCCCGTTTCACAGCAACAGTGAGGAGAGTTCTCATTGTTACTAATTTAGCTACCGGGGCAAAGGTGTCATGATAATCAACTCCCTCCATTTGTGTGAACCCCTTTGCCACAAGTCTCGCCTTGTATCTTTCAACCTCTCAGTTTGGTTTAAATTTGATCTTGTATACCCATTTCGAATCAATGACCTTCTTTCCTTTTGGTAGGTTTTCAAGGGTCCACGTCCCGTTTCGTTCGAGAGCATGAATCTCCCTTTTCATAGCCCTCCTTCCAATTTTCATCTTGAGCTGCTTGATAAAATGACTTTGGTTCATCATGGTTGCTAATGGCTGATAGAAAAGCTTTGTGAGAGTTAGAAAATTGTTCATAAGAAACATAATGAGATAGCGAATGTACCGACGAGGACTCTTGATTGGGTACGGGTTGCGTGTGATCAAGCGAAGGGGGGAGTTTTACGTGATAATCACTTAAATGTCTTGGTTGTGTTCTCTTTCTAGTCTGTCTTCCTTCTTCGAATTCTTGTTGAACAGTGGGTATCTCTTCATTTGTTCTTTCATGTGTTTCTTCTAAGTGAATATCATTTTCTTCCTCACCACTTTGCATGTCTGGACCAGTTGCTTCCAATTCAGTTTGCTCAATTTCATCGGTCTGCATGGGAGCTCCCCTTGTCTCTGTATCTTCAATGGGCTCCTCATGCGAAATTTTATTTCCTTCATCTTCAATGGTTTGGGAGGGAACTCCCCCTTGCTCCATATTTTCGATGGGCCTGTCATGCAAGTCTTGGCATTCGGTGATGGGATCCAAGTGTTCAAATATTTCTTGTTCGTATTCCTTCAACGATATCTTGGAAAAAGGAAAAATGTTCTCGACAAATCTAACATCTCTTGTCATCACCATCTTTCTTTGTTGTATATCGTAAATTTTGTATCCCCTTTTTCCTGGAGGATAACCCATAAACACACCCGGTTTTCCTCTCGGCTCGAACTTGTCCCCATTGGCCTCAACATTTTTGTAGTATACCAAACAACCAAAAACCCACATGTGATCGTATTCAGGTTGACTCACAAATAGGATTTCATACGGAGTTTTGTTGTTTATAACTTTTGATGGTAACCTATTTACTATATAAGCAGCCGTTAGAACGCACTCCCCCCAAAAGATTGTCGGAAGGTTTGCTTCAAAATGTAGGGCACGTGCAATTTCCAAAAGGTGTCTATGTTTTCGCTCAACCACCCCATTTTGCTGTGGGGTATGAGGACAAGTTGTTTCTAGGATAATTCCCTGCTTGCTGTAGAATTGTCTCATGTAATTTGACACAAACTCTCCACCGTTGTCACACCTAATCCTTTTTATGCCCTTTCCAAATTGAGTTTTGACCATATTGTAAAAATCAATTAAACAATTACTAGCCTCATGTTTGTGTTTCAGTAAATAAACCCACACGGTTCTACTAAAATCATCAACTACCGTTAGGAAATAATTTGCACCCGTAAGTGATGGTTTCCTGTATTTGCCCCAAACATCACAGTGGATTAAATCGAAACAATTATTTGTTTTAATATAGCTGACCGGAAATGGCAATCGAGTAAGTTTAGCTTTATTACAAGAATCACAAACTTTGTCTTCAAAATTCAAGGAAGCACCCTTAAGAAAACTAACATGCGATAACTTAACATTGGAGGCATGTCCGAGTCGTTTGTGCCATGATTCCATTGTCACCATCATTGCTCGCCTTTCTTCTTTTATTCCCCCCATTCGGTATAGACCACCATGACAGTTACCCGCTCCAATCAAGTTCCCCGCCTTCAGATCCTGCAAAACAAAAAAGTCGGGGAAAAACGTCACTGCACAGTTAAGATCTTTAGTCAATCTTCGTACAGATAGAAGATTGCATGTAAAGTTTGGCACATAAAGGACTCCTTTAATATCTAATCCCTCCTTTAAAAGAAAATTGCCTTTCCCTTTAACTGGGATTGATTCTCCATTGGGGATTGTGACAGGCCTTTCAATCATGCTCATGTTCAAGTTTTGAAGTAAGCGTCCTTTGCATGTTATGTGTTCAGTTGCACCCGAGTCCACAACCCAATCATCATCGACCTTCATCCTACCTGCCATGTTAGCCACAACAGGTTCAACTTTGCTTCCTTCAAATAATTTCAAGAAACTTGCGTACTGCTCCTCTGTCATGCCTGGTATAGGACATATTTTTGTTTCTACCATTGCAGCCTTTGGCCTTGACTTATCTCCCTTGCCCTTTCCCGGCCACCATTCCGGGTAACCAATTCTTTTAAAACACCCATCTTTATCATGCCCGTCTTTTCCACAATGACTACAGTGTGCTGTTTTGTTGACCTGGGAATTCATCTTTCGTCCATCCTTTTCATATTGGTTTCGCCTTCCCTGAAAATTTGCCTGAAAGGCTGCCACTTCACGGACCGGTCCTTTTGATGCTCCAATGATGCGCTGTTGTTCATCTTCAGCAACTAAATGATACACATTGCTGAGGTTTGGAGTTGGTTTCATTGCTAGAATTTGAGTCTTAATGACGCTGAACTGATCATCAAGCCCCATCAAAAACTCATAGATTCTTTCCTTTTCTTTTAATTCAACCATCTTCCTTCCGAGTTCACACTTGCATCCATTGCATGAACACTTGGGAGTTGGCAAAATCGATTCGATTTCGTCCCACAAAACCCGTAGTCTCGTGTAATATGCTGAAACTGTCATGCCATCTTGCCGGGTGGTATTTAGAGACTGCTTCAGTTCGTATGCTTTGGGGGCGCTTTCCTTCCCAAACCGCTCCTTCAAGTCTCTCCAGATCTCGGCTGCAGTTTTGGCGTATTTCACACTGTTGCGGATTTCTTTCTCCATGGCTGTGGTTAACCAGCCTTTGATCGTCGCATCGCAACGCATCCATGGTAGGTATTTGTCTGATCCTTTTCTGGCATCTCGATCGACCCATCAATGAATCCAGTCTTGTTTTTAGCGAACAAAAAATTCATTATCTCCTGTTCCCAATCGCCGTAGTTTTTGTCGGTAAGAGTATCGTTTACATGTAACTGTTTTGGATAGTCGGAAGCGTGTAGGTAAAACGGAGAATTGTGGTTGATAGTTTCTCCTTCATCTTTGTTCTTCAAAGCCTCATCTCCAGCCATATGAACTATCGATTAAGGTTTCTTTGTGATTTGATTTTGGATCACCCCGCTCTGATACCATAAACGAATTGTGATATCAAAGGTTTTTGATATTTTCTACAGAGGATACATATACAGCAAAATATTACATCACAAAAGGAAAGAGCCTATCATAATAATTATGGATGGAATTAAAGACCCTAAGTGAGGAAAGAGAATATATGGTGGAGAGAAAATAATTAGTTTCCAATATGAAGATGACATTATTTTCTTTGCCATGTTGCTTTTAATAAAAAAGAATGGTTTGCATGTCCTAATTTATACTTGAGCTACCTTTTTCTCTTGTTTTCTTTTTCACGTACTTGAAAAGAGTAATTTCACATAAGAAAGGCAACTTACATCATGACAACTGTCCTCTGTCCATTTACTCCTCCAACCAGATTGACACGTGGCGAAAGAGGAGCATCCGACTTTGACCCTACAATCTCAATCTTCATTGGCTTCCCATCCAACTGTACATTGTTGTAACGTTTAAATGCTTGAAATGCATCATTTCTTCTTGCAAATATCACTTCAGCTGTTCCCTAAAACAAAAATAACAAAAATATTTTTAAAAAAAACTATATACTTTTTTTAATTAAAGAATTTGATACTCTTTAGTTACACTTACATTTGGACGACCACTTTTGTCATAATGAATTGCATATCTATTCAGCTCTCCAATCTCAGAAAACAGTTCCTGTGGTGGGGCCCATATCAATTGTTAAACTTAGAGAAAATATAAGAAAAGAAAAGAAATTGGTGATAGTTGGAAGCTGTGTTACCCTTATATCTTCATTGGTGACTCCAATGTCTAAATTGGAGACATATAATTTTGCAGCATTATCCAATCCTGGTAGACCCGCTGCTTTGAGGCTGTCTTCCAACAAGTCACGCTGCCATGGCAAAGGCTTGGGTCTGCGAAAAGACTGATGCGGGCATGCCACGTGTCAGCATTATAATACAAAAAAAGTTTCACCTTTCTTCATAACCTATAATCAATTATCATGATTCATGGTGTATCTACAACTAATCCGAATCATTTTTTTAAATAAAGATTGAATCTTGAGATTTCATTATTATAAAAAGACAACCTATCTTTAACACTTGACATAAAAAGAGATCTTGAAATTTTGGGAGTTGAAGACTAAACCCACTCCACTCCTTAAAACATGTGAGATAATGAACAGGAGAAAGCACCAGTCCTGTAGTTCAGTGAAGGAATCTCCTTTGCAGAAACACCATGAACTTAGGATAGTAGGATGCATCTTTGAACGCCATGAAAATCTCACTATGAGTATGAGAGATTCCAAATATAGCACTAGGATGCATCATCAACTCCCTTTCCAAACATCCACAAAATTAAAGTAATCATGATTAATTAGTAATGATCAGTGAATCCCCTTAACATCATAGGATAGGATAGAACTTCTGGGTTCATCAAGTAATTCGTGTAAGATCCAGAGAACAATCCATGAACATCATTAGGTGATGATTTCTTGGAAGGTGAATGGTGATGCCAAAATGAACTTCTCCATCAACATTATACAGTGTGTTATATAGTAGTACCTCTTACACTTTGAAATTTGAAAAAGAGAGATGTAATGAGTAGTTCCTCAAGTTTGTGTTTGAAATCAGAGTCTGAATCAAATGCATATATAAGGATAAGATATCCATAATTGTGGAGCTTGCCTTGGCAATGGTGTAAGCTGATGGCCGAGCATCCGCTTCCTATTGGTGTAAGCTGATGGGTGATGACAACTTACAATCGACTCAACACTAAAAAAAAAGTTATACCTAACTGATTCCATGACTTCTTACACCAAAACAAACAATAATACTCAATTTTTTTCAACAAATTAAAAAATCTAGTGTAAATTATATGAATGGCCCCTATGGTTTGGGATAGTTTGCGCATTTAATCCCTAACTCTTTTTTTTTTTTTAACTCGGAGTATATATTCTTCTGGTCCTGGTGGACATAAAAATTCTATTTTACCCACTATCTCTATTCGTGACCATGTGCAACCCAAACTTTCAATTAAAAAATAATTTTTCTTTCATCTATAGTTACAAGTGGTATGAGAGAAGCAACCATTACAGATTTTGTATTCGATATCAAACACGTCGTTTGTTATGTGATATGTCTCTTTTCTTTTTATCATTTTAAAGATATTTCTTTAGTCTTTGGTAAGCAACGACTACCTGGTCTTAAAACTTCTTTTTTAGTTTATTAAAACTAAATAATTATTAATTATATTTACTAAAATATACCATGGGTCCCGTAAACCATCCTCCCACCCTCCAGAGACCCTTTTTTTTATAACTCACGGTGACCCTCTTTTTTACCTCTAGCTATTCACCTTCGTCATTACCTGGTCTGAAAACGGACGTTTTGAAGAAAAGCAGCCTCCATATTTCATAAAATCTTGAAATGAGTTGTGGAATAGGAAAAATTGAGACAATGGTGTTCTTAAACACCTACAGTGGATGAGAGTCAGTTCCAGATTTCATAAAATCTCCCTGATTCGATCTGCATCGCCAGAGATGACCTATTTTCATCCTCTATAACCATGGATTCTGGCAGGTGGGTTAGCTTTCAAACCATGGATTTATGTTTGAATTCATCCGTGTTGAGTCCCAGAAGTAGAGAAATCGTCATAGGAGCATTCAGAATCTGAGTTAAACTTTAAAACAAACATCTCATGTGCATCAAAAACATTAGCTTCTATCTTGCTGTAACAACCCATTTCCAAATCGAAAATTTCCACCCTGAAGTCTACTCCTTGAAAAGCAAATGAAAAACACGAAATTAGATAACATTAAAAACCTAGATAGATGAGATTATGAATGAGAATTCGAGGAAATCGAGAATCCTCCACTCCAATTGGCTCCTCTTTTGTCCTCCAGAAAATCAGAAAACACAGTCCACACTTTTGTGCTGTTCTGATTAAGCGCCGAAGGAGTAGATCGGAGGTGTGAGGAGTCGGCCCCGCCGGAAAAGATCTCGGAGGTGGGAGGAGCTATCGTCTTGTAGGGCAAGAAGAAGAAGAAACGTGTATTTGAAAGAAGGGAAAATGTTTTTTTAGTCAGCGTTGTTGGGATTAATCGATTAGTTACCAAGGTCACGTGATTATGCATATGGCTGGATTTAGATTTATTTATGGTTTTATATGTTATGTTTTTATTAATAGTTTATTAGGTAGAATAGGTATTCTGGTTTGACCGAATTTGTTGGAGTTGTACGTTGAGAAAGTGACGTTGGAAGATTGAGTCATGGGGTTGTACCGGTTCCTTAGGTGAAGTAATGGGTAGAACTGTATGGCTACTTTCATGCCTCATGTGGTACTCCATAAGGCTATATATAGCCATCTCTTTTCATTAATAAAGTAATGTTTTTTCCTCTATAAACTTCTGACACTTCTTCTTTCTTTTCATTAACTATTTTTATATTGTGAGCTTCTTTTCATCCGTGAGTTTTGACACTTGAGTGGGAGATTTCAGAGTTGAGAAACTACATTTGGTATCAGAGCCCCACGGTTCTGGTGAAGGGGGTGTAACTCGTTTTTGTTAGCAGGCTGAAAAAATTGCAACCTCCATCCTTGATCCATCTGTTCAGTGTTAGAGGAGCCTAACCAGAAGCGGAAGAGACAAGCAGAAAAAATTCAAAACGGGTGGGATTTTGGTTTGGCTTGCTTGCTGGGTAAAAGAAAACGGGATAGGCAGAAGCTTTGTTTTCTTGACCGGTGGAAAAAGCTCCTGGAACAGGTGAGATCGGAAGAGGTTGGGGCTGTGAAAAGAAAGAAAATAGTGACCATGGTACCAGCAAAAGAAGGTGGTTCAATGACATATCAGGTTCCGGTTCTGACCCCAACAAATTATCCGGTGTGGGCGGTCAAAGTGAAGTCCATTATGGATGCAAATGGCATATGGGATACCGTTGAAGCGAGGGTATCGGGTGACGAATCAGATCCAAAGAAGAAGAAACAAGCTCTTGCTTTCCTGTTTCAAGCAATACCAGAAGAGATGGTGTTGCAAATGTCCGATTACACCGATCCAAAAAGGGTTTGGAAAGGATTAAAAACTCGGTATTTGGGTGTGGATCGGGTAAGAACGGCTCGATTAGCAACTTTGAAGAGGGAACTAGAAAGCTTGCGTATGAAGGAGGGAGAAACCGTTGATGATTTTGCAGCCAAGTTTAGTGGTTTCGCTTCGAAAGCACGGAGTCTCGGACATGAACTTGAAGAAGTTGACTTGGTGAAAAGGCTACTTGATTCTATGCCCAAGTCATTTCTTCAAATTGTGGCGTCGATTGAGCAATGCTTTGAGTTGGATACGATGCTTTTTGATGAAGTCGTCGGTAGATTAAAGGCATATGAGGAGCGCATCAAAGGATCCGAGAAGGTGGAGGACGTTCATGGTGGGTTGTTGTTGTCAAGAGAAGAAAAGTCGGATGGTTGTATGCGTTGTGGCAGTGGCGGTTCGCATCGGGATGGCTTTGGACGTGGTCGGGGAAGAGGTTGTGGGTCCGGGAGGAGCCAAGATGGTAAGGAACGTGTTCGGTACAAGAGTCACGTAAAATGCTACAAATATGGTGAATTCGGTCATTACAACAACGAATGTCCAAAGTGGGAAAAAGAAGCAAACTTGATCATCGAAGATGAACCGGCATTACTGTGAATGGAGTGGAAAAATAACTGATTAAGGGGGTAATTTTGGGATTAATCAATTATTTACCAAGGTCACGTGATTATGCATATGGCTGGATTTAGATTTATTTATGGTTTTATATGTTATGTTTTTATTAATAGTTTATTAGGTAGAATAGGTATTTTGGTTTGACCGAATTTGTTGGAGTTGTACGTTGAGAAAGTGACGTTGGAAGATTGAGTCATGGGGTTGTACCGGTTCCTTAGGTGAAGTAATGGGTAGAACTGTATGGCTACTTTCATGCCTCACGTGGTACTCCATAAGGCTATATATAGCCATCTCTTTTCATGAATAAAGTAATGTTTTTTCCTCTATAAACTTCTGGACACTTCTTCTTTCTTTTCATTAACTATTTTTATATTGTGAGCTTCTTTTCATCCGTGAGTTTTGACACTTGAGTGGGAGATTTCAGAGTTGAGAAACTACATTAATTTTGGGGAGAATCGAATGAGAGGTTTAGGTGGTCAAAGCTTGACTTTCTTTGTGATGCATAACATCATTTAACATTGAGAATATAACATTTTCTGCATAAAATCATTGAGAATATAACATCTTCTTCCTGCCTCTTAAATAGTCACGAATACATTAAAATATTATTAATTTAATTAAAATATAACAAATGTCAGCATTTAATTAATGTTACATGGATATCATATCGTCATGTGATATCATGTTGAAATGAAATGAAATGAAGGGGATATAATACGTAAACCAGTAAGAAATTGGAATTAATGTTACATCCATGTTATACCAAACCCATCCACATAAACCCTTAATTCTAGTCATATTTCAAATCAAAGTGAAGTGAAATGCATACCAATAACTGAAATCATGTATGTTTTAGTTCCATAGCTCAAAAGTCAAAAGCATGCAACCAGTGTAGTGGTGAGTCAAAAATATTCTAGGCTGTTTAAAGTGTTTTGATATTTAAATTTTTTCTTAATATTTAAAATTGCCGGTCTTTGTAAAGACACATCTCATCTATAACACCATGTGTTTGATAAAATTCTATAAATGGCATATCTCACCATTAGCTTTCATTGCTCATCATATAATCTACAATACGAATATATTTTGTATATTTGAATGACTTAGGTAGGGTGCGGTTTATATAACATGATGTAAGACCCAAATTATGTCCCATATATCATCTTAACCTTGCGTGTACCCACATGTGCAAGAATAAAATTGTATTCTAATACTGACATATATTTTTTTTAATGTATGAAGTCATTATATTAATTGTTCATTTTAGAACAAGTAACTTACTAAATAAATAAAAACTAATACGGATATAAAAAAGTATACCAACAAAAATTTACATAATTTCTTGTTTGGGGGGATGTGTGTATGGCGTTTTCCTTGTTTTCCAGCATTGAGTTTTACAAGTACAGCAATCGTCATTCACTTATTTGTTTACTAATACAAACATATGTAAAGTTTCTTAACAAAAAGCTATTCAAATGAATACATATTGACAAGATACATATAGGGAACTAGAGAAAAGTAAGGAACACTGAAAATAGGGTATATCAAGCAAGAGATGTAAATTCAAAGCATATCCTTCATTAACAGATTTGACACTTGTTGCATTGTTGGTCTTTCATGTGGATTGGAGTTCAAACATGCTCTCGAGAGACTCAGAACTAACTTAACTTGTTTCTCAACTTGGGATGAGGGAGGAGGTATCCGACTATCTCCCACATTTGCTGGAACCAGATAATCATCAGACAATGTTGGTAAAGATGTTATGAGATCTCCGGGATGCTTTCCCATTATCACTTCTATTGCAAAAACTCCAAAGCTATACACATCGCATTTCTCATTTGCCACCATCGTATAAGCAAGCTCTACATCCAAAGAAACATGAGATAAAAACAAAAAAAAGCTATATCAACCCCACAACATTCTAACATTGAGACATATATGTGCATATACTTATTTATATTTATCATGAAACTTAAGAATATGTAGAGGTACAATCAAAAGATTGTGTTACCTGGTGCAATATAACCATAGGTGCCTGCAATTGCGGTCCAGTTGGATGAATCAAGCTTTAAAAGCTTGGACGTGCCAAAATCAGAAATATGTGCTTCATAATTAGAGTCAAGAAGGATGTTGGCTATGGATATCTCTCTATGAATTATAGGAGGTGAGCAGTCGTGATGCATATAAGCCAAACCATTAGCTACGCCCTTTACAATAATGACCCTTTTCAACCAATCCAATTCTTTTGCTAAGACATCGCTTCTTAAGATTGATCCAAGGCTTCCCTTTTCAATGTATTCATAAATCAAAAATGAGTGGCGGACATGGGAGCAATATCCATAGAGTTTCACTATGTTTCGATGCCTTATGTTCGTTAATGCCCGTACCTCGTTAAGGAATCCATTATGATCAACATTCTCAGATGATGAGTGAAGTTTCTTGACAACTACCACATTGTTAGGTTGTAGCTCGGCTTTGTACACAGTCCCATATCCTCCAGTCCCAATGCAGTATGCTTCATCGAAATCATTTGTTGCCTTCAAGACATCAACATACACCACTTTTCCATCAAAACTTGTGATAGAGAAATAATCACCAGTTTCTTCGTCCGATGGTTTTTGTGGAGACCTTTTATTTTGTTGTTGATAAGCAATAAGGCGATATGTGCATACACCAAGTAAAACAGCCCCAATAAGGGGGAGCACAATCACAAGGATAAGTTTATGATGAAAAGGATCATTTTTCTTTTTCATAATTTGACTTGGACAAAGTTTCAATCCAGTAATATCCCACACAAATCTGGATTGCTTTCTACGGACGCATTCACAAAGTTTGCGCAAGGGGGGGACTTGACCTGAGAGCTCATTGTAAGAAAGGTTGATATCAATACCGTTAGGCAAACTTGTAAAAGCATCAGGAATGGAACCAGATAGTCTATTGTGAGAAAGATCCAATTTTTGCAAACTCTGCAAACTTTGTACTTCAGATGGTATCTCTTTCATGAGAAAATTATGAGATAAATCAAGTTCTGTAAGATGAACTAATTTACCAATCTCGGATGGAATTTTCTCACTGATCTTGTTATTACTAAGATTCAAGTAGTGGATGTGTGCCCATTGATCTATACTTCTTGGAATTGTCCCATTCAATCTAATTTTGGATAGATCAAGTACTTCAAGGAGTTCACAAAATCCAAGCTCTAGAGGTATAACACCTGAAAGTTGGTTGCCAGACAAGTACAATTCCAACATAAGTATCATCTTCCCAAACTCCTTTTGGGATCTCACCAACCAAATGATTTGAAAACAGATTAAGTCTTCGTAGTTGAGTTAAATTTCCAAATTCTGGAGGAAGAGAACCAGTAATTTGATTGTTGTTCACATGAAAGTCAGTGAGATACTTCAATTTCCCAAGTTCACTAGGAATGGGGACAGCAAACTCATTTTCATGCATATAAAGTTGATTTAAAGATGTCAAATTACCAAATGATGAAGGAATAAAACCACTAAGCTGATTTCTGCCCACCGAAAGATGGGTGAGAATGAGGGAAAACCGTAAATTAAAGAATATATATATGAAGATAATTAAATAAGAACTGACGGTTCTTATTGTTCCGTGCATCTATTTCATCTGTTATTTCCTTTTATTTCCATAAGTGTGTAAAACGCCTCATACGTACTTGCATAGACTTAATTATGAAGATAATTAAATAAAAAGTGAAATACAAGTATGTTATGGTTTGTTTGACATTTTGTGATCAATTCTTTCTCTTAGGGTCCTTATCTTCACATATTAGTGACAGAATTCTTGACAGATTTTTTGTTGGAATAAAAAGTGCAATATAACTTAGATTACATTTATGTTTGTTTTCCATGTAATTCTAATAAAACTTTCTTTCTAAACGCAAACATACCTATCAAATTGATCAATGCTCCCAAAGGAGGAATTATGTCTTGAAAAGAAGCAACACCAAGAAAACTATAAACTTTGATGTCTCTGCATCGTAAGAAAGGATTGTGCACATGAATCTTTGAGATGAAAGCAAAGGCGGCCCAAAAAAAACGGTTGAATTTCGCCAAAGCACCACCAGGGGCAAAATGGTCAAAGGTTGAACCAAAAAGGAGAAAGTCATCTCACAGCATGTATGTAGCAGAACGAGGGAGGAATGTTGAATTTCACCAAAGCAACACCAGGGGAAAAATAGTCAAAAGTTGAATCGAAAGGGAGGACGCCATCTCACAGCATGTATGTAGTATGTACAACACCATAAGGCTTCATGAAGGACATCCAAACAGCAGCAATCTCAACATGAAATTCTCGTGGATAGCAACTACGGCAGCAGAAATGAAATATTGGTGGGAATAAACAGCAAGACTTTACTCATCAGCATCACCAATTCAACACCACATCATGGAAAACAGCTACCGATTCAATCTGCAAAGGCTGTGAAAACGCAAACACCAAGATGATTTTTCATTGCATGTTTAAATCTACTGCCTCTGTTATTTACCCAGTTGAAGGATAGCAATTGAATCTCATCAAACACTTTATCTTGATGATTATAACACTGATTAATGAATATTGACTGTTTAGGATCATTTGTACATTCTTGTTGCAAAAATATGAGTTTAATGAATATTAACTGTTTGTGAAATGCCTGAATGGTTTTTTTTTTTTTTTTTTTTTTAAATTTAATGCCATGTCAACTGTAAGGTTCGCTCATAGTGCTGTGTTGTGATTTCGTAGAGTACTTGAAAGCAAAGAATATTTACAGAAAATAAATGGTCTTCAAACATTCTGTTAATCTGCCCCAAATAATTGTACACATCCAATACAGAATGAGAGAAGAATGGTTTCCAGGCAATGCTATTGATTATATATTAGCTAATATTACACTTTAAAATGTGAACCAGATTTACTTATTTTTGTATATTTTAATGACTTAGGTAGGATACGGGTTATAAAATGGAAATATATTTTGTATATTTATAATGACGTATCTTTTCTTAATATATTTTGTTTCCAGATTGCAGTAACAATACTCAGATGACATGATGGGTTATATAACATGTTATGGCTCATATATCATATTATCCGGGCTTGTACCCACATGTTGTACAAGAATAAAATTGTATGGTAATATTGATAGATATATTTTTTTTGAAAGTATGCAGTCATTATAATTAATTATTCATTTTAAAATACGTAACTTACTAAATAAATAAAATTTGAAAGAAATATAAAAAGTATGCCAACAAAATTTCTTCTTTGGGGGATGTGTGTATGGCGTTGTCCTTGGTTTCCAGTAGTGTGTTCTTAGAAGTATAGCAATGTTCATTGACTTATTTCTTTACTACTACAAACATATGTGAAGTTTCTTAAAAAAAAAAAGCCATTCAAATGAATACATATTGGCAGGGTGCATAACGGGAACTTTTGAAAAGTAAAGAGCACTGAAAGTACACTATATTGATCAGGCAAGAGATGTCAATTCAAAACAGATCCTTCATTAACCGATTGGAAACTTGCTGCATTGTTGGTCTTTCAAGTGGATTGGAGTTCAAACATGCTCTTGCGAGACTCAGAACCAACCAAACTTGTTTCTCAACTTGGGATGAGGGAGGAGGTATCCGACTATCTTCCACATTTTCTGGCACCAGATAATCAGAAGACAATGTTGGTAAAGATGTTATGAGATCTCCAGGATGCTTTCCCATTATAACTTCTAGTGCAACAACTCCAAAGCTATAAACATCGCATTTCTCATTTGCCACCATCGTAAAAGCAAGCTCTACATCCAAAGGAACATGAGATAAAAACAAAAAAAGCTATATCAACCCACAAGATTCTAACATAGATACATATATGTGCATATACTTATTTATATATATCATAAAAGTTAAGAAGATGTAGAACTACAATCACGAGATAGTGTTACCTGGTGCGATATAACCATAGGTGCCTGCAATTGCAGTCCAGTTGGATGAATCGAGCTTTAAAAGCTTGGATGTGCCAAAATCAGAAATATGTGCCTCACAATCAGAATCAAGAAGGATGTTGGCTATGGATATGTCTCTATGAATTATAGGAGGTGAGCAGTCGTGATGCATATAAGCCAAACCATTAGCTACACCCTTTACAATATTTACCCTTTTCAACCAATCCAATTCTTTTGCTAAGACATCGCTTCTTAAGATTGATCCAAGGCTTCCATTTTCTAGGTATTCATAAATCAAAAATGAGTGGCGAACATGGGAGCAATATCCATAGAGTTTCACTATGTTTCGATGCCTTATGTTTGTTAACGCTCGTACCTCGTTAAGGAATCCATTATGGTCAACATTCTCAGACCCTGAGTGGAGTTTCTTGACAGCTACCACATTGTTAGGTTGTAGCTCGGCTTTGTACACAGTCCCATATCCTCCGGTCCCAATGGAGTATGCTTCATCAAAATTATCCGTTGCTTTCAAGATGTCATCATACACTACTGCTCCATCAAAACTTGTTATGGAGAAATAATCACCGCTCTTCGTCTGATGGTTTTTGTGGAGAATTTTTCTTTTGATGTTGATAAGCAATGAAGCCATACATGAATACACCAAGTAAAACAGCCCCAATAAGAGGGAGCATAATTACAAGGATAAGCTTATGATGATATGGATCATTTTTCTTCTTCATAATCTGACTTGGACAAAGTTTCACTCCCGTAATATTCCCACACAAATCTGGATTGCTTCCTATGGATGCATTCACAAAATTAGTGGAAAGAGGGACTATACCTGAAAGCTCATTGTAAGAAAGGTTGATATCAATCCCGCGAGGCAAATTTGTAAAAACATCAGGAATGGAACCAGATAGTCTATTGTGAGAAAGATTCAATTTTTGCAAACTTTGCAAACTTTGAACTTCAGATGGTATCTCTTTCATGAGAAAATTATGAGATAAATCAAGTTCCGTAAGATGAACTAATTTACCAATCTCGGATGGAATTTTCTCACTGAGCATGTTATTACTAAGATTCAAGTAGTGGATTTGTGCCCATTGACCAATACTTGTTGGAATCGACCCATTCAATCTATTTTTGGATAGATCAAGTACTTCAAGAAGTTCACAAAATCCAAGCTCTAGAGGTATAACACCTGAAAGTCGGTTGCCAGCCAAGGACAAATCCAACATACTTTTCATCTTCCCAAACTCCTTTGGGATCTCACCAACCAAATGATTCGAAGACAGATCAAGTCTTTGTAGTTGAGTTAAATTTCCAAACTCTGGCGGAATAGAACCACTAATTTGATTGTTGTTCACCTTAAAATCAGTGAGAGACTTCAACTTCCCAAGTTCACTAGGAATGGGGCCAACAAGCTCATTCTCATGCATATAAAGTTGATTTAAAGATGTCAAATCACCAAATGATGAAGGAATAAAGCCACTAAGATGATTTGTTCTCAACGAAAGATGAGTGAGATACTTCAACTTCCCAATTTCACTAAGAATGGGACCCGATAATTTATTAAAACTGAGGATTAGCCACTGTAGGTTGCTGAGGTTTACTAGTGATGAAGGAATAGAACCACTAAGTTGATTTTTGCACACCACAAGATGAGTGAGAGACTTCAAATTCCCAAGTTCAGTAGGAATGGGACCAGAGAGTTGATTTTGGAACAAATTAAGGATATTCAAAGATGTCAAATCACCCAATGATGATGGAACAGAACCACTAAGTTGATTGTCACTCACATCAAGATTAGTGAGAGACTTCAAATTTCCAAGTTCAATGGGAATGAGACCAGAGAGATGATTTCCATACAAAGAAAGGACATTCAAAGATGTCAAATTACCCAATGAGGAAGGAATAGAACCACTAATTTGATTGTTGTTCACCTTAAAATCAGTGAGAGACTTAAAATTCCCAAGTTCAATGGGAATGGGACCAGAGATATTGTTTGAGTGTAAGTACAAGATGGTTAGTTGGTGCATGTTTCCTATTTCAGGTGGGATTACTCCGGAAAACTTATTGGATGAAAAATCAAGATATACCAATTTGGACAAAAGATGGATTTCTGGTGGGATGGGGCCAAAGAAGTTGTTTAGACTGAGATACAAATGAGTAAGACTGTGTAGCAATGAGAATGAAAATTGATGAAGCGTACCCTTTAATCCAGATGATGTGAGGTTCAACTTCTGAATGCTCCCATCAGCATTGCAAACTACACCAAACCAAGAAGTGCATGGAACCGATGCACTGGAATTCAAATGGAGGGGAATCCATGAAGAGAGCAAGGAGTTTTTTGGGATTTCAAGGTTTGCTTTCCATTTAAGAAGAGCATTGGCTTCCTCCAAAGAAGCAGAAGCGAAATTTGGTATGGGGGAGAGTGTGATGATTAATAGAGTTAGAGAGAAAAATAACAAGTTTGAAGAAGACATTATTTGCTTTGCCATGTTGCTTTTAATAAAAAAGAATGGTTTGTATGTCCTAATTTATACTTGAGCTACCTTTTTCTCTTGTTTTCTTTTTCAAATAGTCGAAAAGGAAATTTGGGTAATGTCATATTTTTCCACAAGGAGTGTCTTTTAATGTGTCAATGTTTTCCACAACTGTGTGTATTACACTTTGAATTGTATCTATCTGTCATGATATTAATCCTTTTTTTAGAACAATATAATTCGTTGTAACCCGAAATTTAGCAAGACACTAGGAATACAAAAAGACAACAAGCAGTATTATATGTTATTGTTGGATTTAACAACGTAATAATATAACTTAACTTGATTATTTAGACTTTTTTTTTGTGATAAATACTAATTTATAGAAATTTCACTCAAACTGTGTTTTACTGCATATTAGTTCTGTAACTGAGACTATTATAGAGATGATCCATGTGAAAACTGTGTGAATGGGGTCAATGGAGATAGGGACATAACATAATGGTCCTTTAAAAGAATCTAAAATACAAATGCACATGGTGTGTTCATTGAAGGTGTGAATGATGGAAAACCGTAAATTAAAGAATATAAATAGGAAGATATTTATATAAAAACTGATGGTTCTTATTGTTCCCTGCCATCAATTTCATCTGTTAATTCGCTTTTCTGTGAAGCGTCTAAAACGTCTCACGCTTACGGACTTAAGATGAAGATAATTAAATAAAAAGTGAAATACAACTGTATTATTATTTGTTTCTCATATTTCCGCAACTGATTAGTTTACACAAATCATTAGAATTCATCTACACATCCCATTTCGTGATCAATTCTTTCTCTTAGGGTCCTTATCTTCACATATTAGTGACAGAATACTCGACAGATTTTTTGTTGGGATAAAAAGTGCAATGTAACTCAGAATACATTTATGTTTGTTTTCCAAGTAATTCTAATAAAACTTTCTTTCCAAAAGAAAACACACCTATCAAAATGATCAATGCTCCCAATTCAGCAGCCAGAAGAAAGGAGGAATTAATAAGTCTTGAAAAGAAAGCAACACCAAGAAAACTATAAACTTTGATATCTCTACATCGTATCGTAAGAAAGAATTGTGTACATGAAGCCTTGAGATGAAAGCAAGGGCAGCACCAAAAAAAGGGTTGAATTTTACCAAAGCAACACCAGGGGCAAAATGGTCAAAAATTGAATCGGAAAAGAGAAAGCCATCTCACAGCATCTCACAGCATGTATGTAGCAGCACCAACCAAAAACGTTGAATTTTACCAAAGCAATGCAAGTGACAAAATAGTCAAAAGTCGAAAGGGAGGAAGTCATCTCACAGCATGTATGTACAACACCATAAAGCTACTGCCTCTGTTATTTACCCAATTCATCAACACCCATAAAGCACCAGACCCCCCTCCCCTGAGAATGCAGTCAGGAAGAAAGAGGATCAATGCACCAGTTCTCCATTGCAAGTTTGAATCTACTGCCTCTGTTATTTACCCAGTTGAAGGATAGCAATTGAATCTCATCAAACACTTTATCTTTAATGATTATAACAATGATTAAAAACTCTGGAATTGCGTGTTTTCGAAACAGATCAAACACTGTATAACACAAGGCACCCAACATTTCTATACCTTCAGACCCTGTTTGGAGAAGTTCACAAAATCCTCGCCTTCTCAGACATTGAAGATGAGGGTTTCGAGACTAGCTTACACCAATTACAAAACCAATTCGAGATTCCAAAGAGACCATAGCACAAGGCACCCTACAATTCTACTTTCCGACCCCTGCTTACACCATGGACGAAGTCAATTTATCCATCCAAATCATTTGAATCCAAGTGCAGAAACCACAAGCAAAATCATTTGAATCCATCCAAATCGCACAAAATTTATCAACTTAAAGTCAGATTGGTGATTACACAAAAGTGTGAATCCATTTCCATAGTAGACGCAGAGTGGTTTGAAGTGGTGGTCAGGATCGTTGAAGTGGATATCAATTAAAAGGTCGGTATTGGTGTCTTTCCTCATTTTTATGTTCTATCTTCTTCCAACACTCCATTTAGGATCGCTTGTACATGCTCCTTGCAAAAATGTTAGTCTAATGAATATTAACTGTTTGATGAAATGCCTCAATGATTTTTTTTTAATTTTTTTTTTCTGAATTTAATGCCATATCAGCTGTATGGTATTGGTTTGTTCATAGTGTAGTGTATTGATATTATAGAGTACTTGAAAACAAAGAATATTTACAGAAAATAAATGATCTCCAAGACACCCAATACACCAATACAGAATGAGAAAAGTATGGTTTCCAGGCAATGCTATTGACATTAAATAGCATGTCTGTGGAAAAAATTGATGCCCATCAATGTGGAGAGCCCTTGTTTTATTTCTTTCCTGATTTGCAGTAACAATATTCTCAAATGACAATCACTTTGCAATTTCTTCCATGATCCATTGATTATCCATGAAACTACAGGTGTCATTTTGGTGCTAGCTACCAATAGACATGGAATGGAGATTCAGATGAAGAAGTTTTTTATACTTGCATTAATTAATAAGATTACATCTAACACTCAGGTAATCAAAGCTTGACTTTTTTGTGATGGCATTGTCCTTGGTTTCCAGTAGTCAGTTTTAAATGCATAGTAATTTTCATTTACTTATTTGTTCACAAACATATGTGAAGTTTCTTAACAAAAAGCCATTCATATGAATACATATTGACATGATGCATATAGGGAACATAAGAAAAGTAAAAAGAACACTGAAAGTACACTATTTCGATCAGCCCAAGAGATGTCAATTCAAAGCTGATCCTTCATTAACAGATTTGAAACTTGTTGCATTGTTGGTCTTTCATGTGGATTGGAGGTCAAACATGCTCTTGAGAGACTCAAAACCAACCTAACTTGTTTCTCAACTTGTGATGAGGGAGGAGGTATCCGACTATCTCCCACGTTTGCTGGCACCAGATAATCAGCAGCAGACAATGTTGGAAAAGATGTTATGAGATCTCCTGGATGCTTTCCCATTATCACTTCTACTGCAACAACTCCAAAGCTATACACATCGCATTTCTCATTTGCCACCATCGTATAGGCAAGCTCTACATCCAAAGGAACATGAGATAAAAACAAAAAAAGCTATATCAACCCCACAAGATTCTGACATAGATACATATATGTGCATGTACTTATTTATATATATCATGAAACTTAAGAATATGTAGAGGCACAATCAAAAGAATGTGTTACCTGGTGCAATATAACCATAGGTGCCTGCAATTGCAGTCCAGTTAGATGAATCGAGCTTTAAAAGCTTGGATGTGCCAAAATCAGAAATATGTGCCTCACAATCAGAATCAAGAAGGATGTTGGCAATGGAAATGTCTCTATGAATTATAGGAGGTGACAGTCGTGATGCATATAAGCCAAACCATTAGCTACGCCCTTTACAATATTTACTCTTTTCAACCAATCCAATTCTTTTGCTAAGACATCACTTCTTAAGATTGATCCAAGGCTTCCCTTTTCAAGGTATTCATAAATCAAAAATGAGTGGCGGACATGGGAGCAATATCCATAGAGTTTCACTATGTTTCTATGCCTTATGTTCGTTAACGCTCGTACCTCATTAAGGAATCCATTATGATCAACATTCTCAGATGATGAGTGAAGTTTCTTGACAGCTACCACATTGTCAGGTTGTAGCTCGGCTTTGTACACAGTCCCATATCCTCCGGTCCCAATGCAGTATGCTTCATCGAAATCATTTGTTGCCTTCAAGATTTCAGCATACACTACTTTTCCATCGAAACATGTAATAGAGAAATAATCGCCACTTTCTTCATCCGATGTTTTTTGTGGAGACTTATTCTTTTGTTGTTGATAAGCAATTAGGCCATACATGAATACACCAAGTAAAACAGCCCCGATAAGAGGGAGTGTAATTACAAGGATGAGCTTGTGATGAAAGAGATCATTTTTCTTCTTCATAATCTGACTTGGACAAAGTTTCAATCTGGTAATATTCCCACACAAATTTAGATTGCTTTCTATGGACACATTCACAAAGTTAGCGGAAAGGGGGACTGGACCTGAGAGCTTATTGAAAGAAAGGTTGATATCAATACCACGAGGCAAATTTACAAAAGCATCAGGAATAGAACCAGATAGTCTATTGTGAGAAAAATCCAATTTTTGCAAACTCTGCAAACTTTGAACTTCTGCTGGTATCTCTTTTGTGAGAAAATTCTGAGATAAATCAAGGTCTGTAAGATGAACTAATTTACCAATCTCGGATGGAATTTTCTCACTGAGCTTGTTATTACTAAGATTCAAGTAGTGGATGTGTTCCCATTGACCGATACTTGTTGGAATCGACCCATTCAATCTATTTTTGGATAGATCGAGTACTTCAAGGAGTTCACAAAATCCAAGCTCTAGAGGTATAACACCTGAAAGTTGGTTGCCAGCCAAATACAAATATAACACACTTTTCATCTTTCCAAACTCCTTTGGGATCTCACCAACCAAATGATTTGAAGACAGATCAAGTCTTTGTAGTTGAGTTAAATTTCCAAACTCTGGAGGAATAGAACCATTAATTTGATTGTTGTTCACCTTAAAATCAATGAGAGACTTCAATTTCCCAAGTTCACCTGGAATGGAACCAGCAAGCTCATTGTGATCCATATAAAGGAAATTTTAAAGAAGTCAAATCACCAAATGATGAAGGAATACAACCACTAAGCTGATTTCTGCTAACGTAAAGATGAGTGAGAGACTTCAACTTCCCGACTTCACTAGGAATGGGACCAGACAATCTGTTCTCAATTAGGTTCAACCATAGTAAGTTGCTCAGCTTTTCCAGTGATGAAGGAATAGAACCATTAAGCTGATTGATGCCTACCTCAAGATGAGTGAGAGACTTCATATTCCCAAGTTCAACAGGAATAGGACCAGAGAGTTGATTTTGGTATAAATAAAGGAGATTCAAAGATGTCAAATTACCCAATGATGAAGGAATAGAGCCATTAAGTTGATTCTCATTCACAGCAAGATCAGTGAGAGACTTCAAATTCCTAAGTTCAACAGGAATGGGACCAGATAATTTATTCACACCTAGGTACAGAATCAGTAGGTTACTCAGCTAGCTTTGCTAGAGATAAAGGAATAGAACCACTAAGTTTAATTGTAGCTCATGAAAAGTTCACTGAGATACTTCAAATTGCCCAAGGATGAAGGAATTGAACCAGATATATTGTTTGAATATAGGTACAAGATGGTTAGCTGGTGCAGGTTTCCTATTTCAGGTGGGATTACTCCAGAAAACTTATTCTCAGAAAAATCAAGATATACAAGTTTGGACAAAAGTTGAATTTCTGGTGGGATGGGGCCAAAAAACTTGTTCATATAGAGATCAAAATGTGTAAGATTGTGTAGCAAAGAGAATGGAAATCGATGAAGCGTACCCTTTAATCCAGATGATGTGAGGTTCAACTTCTGAATGCTCCCATCAGAATTGCAAACTACTCCAAACCAAGAAGTGCATGGAACCAAATGCACTGGAATTCAAAGGGAGGGGAATCCATGAAGATAGCAAGGAGTTTTTTGGGATTTCAAGGCTTGCTTTCCATTTAAGAAGAGCATTGGCTTCCTCCAAAGAAGCAGATGCGAAATTTGGTATGGTGGAGAGTGTGATGATTAGTAGAGCCAGAAAGAAAAATAATAAGTTTGAAGAAGACATTATTTGCTTTGCCATGTTGCTTTTAATAAAAAAAAGAATGGTTTGCATGTCCTGATTTATACTTGAGCTACCTTTTTCTCTTGTTTTCTTTTTCACGAACTCGAAAAGAGAATTTGCCCAATGTCATATTTTTCCACAAGGAGTGTCTTTTACGTTAGAAGTCGGTGTCAAATTTTTCCACAAAGGAGTGTATTACACTTCGAATTGTATCTATCTGTCATTACATTACTCATTTATTCTTATAACAAAAAAATTCGTTGTAACCCAAAATTTAGAAAGGAGCTAGGATTTCGAAAAGACAACATGTGGTATTATATGTTATTGTAGAATCTAACAATGTAATAATAAAACTTAACTTTATTATTTAGACATATTTATTTTCGTTTTCTGATTAATGTTAGTAGAAGTTTCACTCAAACTGTGTTTTACTTGATAATCAGTTCTATAAATGAGTATTATGTAGATGATCCACGTCAAAACTGTATGAAGGGGTCAATGGAGATAGGGACATAAGGGTCCTTTGAAAGAATCTAAAAAAACAAATGGACATGGGTGTTCCTTGAACGTGTGAATGAGGGAAAAGAATATAAATATGAAGATAATAAAATAAAAATTAATGGTTCTTATTGTTCCCTGCAATCTATTTCATCTGTTAATTGACTTACATCCTTTTATCTCCTGAAGTGTCTAAAACGTCCATAGATTTAAAAATGAAGATAATTAAATAAAAAAGTGAAATACACCTGTATTATTGTTTGTTTCTCATATTTCCACAACTGATTAGTTTACACAAATCTTTAGAATTCATCTGCACGTTTCGTGATCAATTCTTTCTCTTAGGATCCTTATCTTCACAAATTAGTGATAGAATTCTCAACCAAATTTTTGTAAAATAAAAAGTGCAATATAACTTCGATTAAATTGAGACATATTTGATATTTATTTATTGTTTTCCAAGCAATTTTAATAAAACTCTCATTTCAAAAGCAAACATACCTATCAAATTGATCAATGCTCCCAAAGGAGGAATTAAGTCTTAAAACGAAGCAACACCAAGAAAACTATGAACTTTGATATGAAAAAATTGTGCACATGAAGCTTGCTTTGAGATGAAAGCAAGGGCAGCACACAAACACGGTTGAATTTGGCCAAAGCAACACCAGGGATAAAACGGTCAAAAATTAAATCGAAAAGGAGAAATCCATCTCACGGCATGTACGTAGCATCACCAGAGAAGTTGAATTTCACCAAAGCAACACCAGAGGAAAAAATAGTCAAAAGTTGAATCCAAAGGGAGGAATCATTTGTACATGTGAGTCTAATGAATGTCAACTGTTTGAAGAAATGCCTGAATGAATTCTTTTTTCTTTTTTGTTTGAATTTAATGCCACATCAGCTGTATGGTTGTTCATAGTAGTGGAAAACAAAGAATATTTACAAAACATAAATGGTCTCCAAACATTTGTTACTTCTGCCCCAAAAAATTGATTACCAATGGCTGGTTGCCTGGAAGTCACAAGTTACCCTTTAAGCACAGAGTGCATACAAGTATTGGTAGTTGTATATTGCATTATCCACAAATAGATCCAAACCTAGCACATTGCATTAGTGGCCATGATAATATGTTGTATAGTGGAAACCATAGTGTTGATGGCGAGACTTTAGTAAAGTTTTTTCAAAAAATCAAATAAAGGTAAAACAACATAATCTAAGACCCCACATTTTAAGGTGTCACATGAAGCAACAAAACACCCACAACTTACAAAAGCATAAAACACAATCTCCACTCTTGCAAAAACCAAATACGCTTTTTGTACACAACTAATCAAATATTAAATCTACTTGTATTTTTCAGTACTTGTGTTTCCGAAAGCCTTATTATTAGGTCTGCATGGCATGATACTTCTCCAGTTCCTTATCAAGTTCATCAACTGACTTGTCACCCCCCGCCGCCTTCCTCCCTCTCCCCCGCCCACGACCACCACCGCCCCCACCACGACCACCGCCACGCTTGTTTACAACACCACCACCACGGCTACTCTTTATGCCACCACGGGTTCTCCGACTACAACACAAAAAAAAAACAGAGATTAACTACTACACAAACAATTGTATGCTTAAAACCTACTTCCATTTATTTGTAGTATTTATTGTTTTCCAATTTCGTAATCAAACTATAAAATATCTACCCAAATATTGCTTTGTACTTTCAAACTGTTTCTTATTAGGACATTATTATAACCCTACCCAGATGTACGATTAAATGCACCCCCTCCTCTTCCACGAGCCACTCCAGGCCTGCAATGCAAGTGTACCCAATTTTACAAAACAGGAATTCAACAAAAAAGCAAAGGACAAAAAAGTAATTTCACATAAGAAAGGCAACTTACATCATGACAACTGTCCTCTGTCCATTTACTCCTCCAACCAGATTGACACGTGGCGAAAGAGGAGCATCCGACTTTGACCCTACAATCTCAATCTTCATTGGCTTCCCATCCAACTGTACATTGTTGTAACGTTTAAACGCTTGAAATGCATCATTTCTTCTTGCAAATATCACTTCAGCTGTTCCCTAAAACAAAATTAACAAAAAAAAAAATTTTAAAAAACTATATACTTTTTTTGTTAAAGAATTTAATACTCTTTCGTTACACTTACATTTGGACGGCCACTTTTGTCATAATGAATTGCATATCTATTCAGCTCTCCAATCTCAGAAAACAGTTCCTGTGGTGGGGCCCATATCAATTGTTAAACTTAAAGAAAATATAAGAAAAGAAAAGAAATTGGTAATAGTTGATAGTTGTGTTACCCTTATATCTTCATTAGTGACTCCAATGTCTAAATTGGAGACATATAATTTTGCAGCATTATCCAATCCTGGTAGACCTGCTGCTTTGAGGCTGTCTTCCAACAAGTCACGCTGCCATGGCAAAGGCTTGGGTCTGCGAAAAGACTGATGCGGGCATGCCACGTGTCAGCATTATAATACCATAATACAAAAAAAGTTTCACCTTTCTTCATGACCTATAATCAATTATCATGATTCATGGTGTATCTAGAACTAATCCAGATCATTTTTTTTAAATAAAGATTGGATCTTGAGATTTCATTATTATAAAATGACAACCTATCTTTAACACTTGACATAAAAAGAGATCTTGAGATTTTGGGAGTTGAAGACTAAACCCACTCCACTCCTTAAAACATGTGAGATAATGAACAGGAGAAAGAACCAGTCCTGTAGTTCAGTGAAGGAATCTCCTTTGCAGAAACACCATGAACTTAGGATAGTAGGATGCATCTTTGAACGCCATGAAAATCTCACTATGAGTATGAGAGATTCCAAATATAGCACTATGATGCATCATCAACTCCCTTTCCAAACATCCACAAAATTAAAGTAATCATGATTAATTAGTAATGATCAATGATCAATGATCAGTGAAGCCCCTTAACATCATAAGATAGGATAGAACTTCTGGGTTCATCAAGTAATTCGTGTAAGATCCAGAGAACAATCCATGAACATCATTAGGTGATAATTTCTTGGAAGGTGAATGGTTATGCCAAAATGAACTTCTCCATGAACATTATACACTGTGTCATATACCCCTTACTTTGAAATTTGAAAAAGAGAGATGTAATGAGTAGTTCCTCAAGTTTGTGTTTGAAATCAGAGTCTGAATCAAATGCATAAGGATAAGATATCCATAATTGTGGAGCTTGCCTTGGCAATGGTGTGAGCTGATGGCCGAGCAGAGTTCACCCTGAGGGGGCCTTTGCGAGGTGGCCCTGTGGCTGTGGGTCTTCCTTGTCCACGCCCACGGCGGGCCCTACCTCGCCCTCTACCTCTCTCAGTATTGCGCCTGCTTTTAATCATATCATCAAGAGACATATCCAATGATGCCATTATAAACTAGGCTTTGCAACCTTGCTTTTAGTCTTCAGAAATAGAAAATTCCTGTCAAAATAGAAAAGGACTAGTCAACCACCAAATTATGTTTTCAATCACATCATGAAACCTAGGCCTAATAATATGAGAATGAGTACGATCCTTGATCTGACATTTGAACTATCAATATACAGAAACTTCATTAAAAAAACCTATGTATCGAAATTCTGAATGTTTAATATGCTAATTATCACTCCACTAGTGTTCGTATGATAAGATCTGGTAATAATACAAGACCGATCTCCGATTCCCAAGCTTACGTGGGCAAAGAACTAACCCATATCCAAGGTTAATTAAAAAAGACGATGTTCGTCATAACACGTATGACCAATAGCTAATACTTATAAAAACAACGATAAACAACAGATCACAATCAGATGTGTAAAATCGATTTAACGTGTATTCTGATCTGCGTATATGGTTCTATACGTATAAATAAATCAATACGTGAAAGAAATTTACCTGAATCACAATAGATATGAATAGATCTTTGAATTTAGGGTACGAACTGCGACAAAGAACCGATTGCCGAAAACGTACGCAGACAAGGAGAGAGGTTAGAGGAAGAAAAGGATGATGAAATTGAAGATGTTGAAGAAAGGGGCATATAGATCTTAGATCGATCGTGAAGAGAGATTGGAGAGATCTGTTTGGGGAATAGAAATATAGAATTAGGGTTTGATTTTTACTTTGATTTCGATTGGCGAAAAGATGTTCTGAATCTTGAAGAAGAAGATAAGGGTAATAGTGAATAACGCGTTTGGGCCTGTATTGGGCCACAATAAATAGCTTTCTTAAGCCTATTTTATTTCCAATTTTTTAGAACATTATCATATAAGTTTTCCAATCTTTTTTATTCCTTTCTATAATTAAATAATTATTGAAATTGATTTAAGTTAAGATTCGTAAATATATATAATTACTGGAGGACCTTTATATATATTTACTCTGTATCTTAATAATAGCATAGATGCTTATTAAATTATGCGTTAAATCATAAAGAAACGATTCGAGAGCTTCTATATTTGTCTAGTGAACCATGCTACATTATACTAATTCAAGTCACAAATTTTGTTGATATAAGCCAAGTGAACAAATAAAGTAAATGAGCATGGGACTACATGGAATGGATGGGTATGTATATTGCATTGATATAGTGCTTATCAACCAAACAGCATTTATGATGGTAAAATTCTCCAACATTAAACAAATTGTGAAACATTTGATTGTGTTGTCTAATAAATCAAGATTTTCCTAAAGTTTATGCGACATGTGAATTGTGATATATTATCACCTAAATACAAAATTAACATGGATCAAAATAACCACCCCATGCAAATATCATTTGTTAGTATGAGTTTACTATGGTTGAGCAAAAAACAAAACTGAAAAATCTACAAAAACTTAAATTGAGAAACCGAAACCAAAACGATAATCAAAGTTGTGGTTTTTAATTATGCAAAACTAAGTCCAATATGGTATTATCAATAAATTGTGATTAGTATTAATGGATAAACAATTAATCTTGAATTATATTTGTACTGGGAAAGAAGGTATGTAAGTGCGAACAACCCAAAACAAAAATAAAACAAAAATGTCACATTTCTTAGACTAATAAACAATGACAATCTAACATAAAATGTATATAATAGTTCCGCCCTTGCAAGTTGCAACAAAATCATCACCCCATACTGAATCATTCGTCTTTCTCCAAATCTTTTAATATAAGACGAAATATGAATTGATATTTGTAAATTCTTTCTTTTTTCTTTCTTGCTAAAATGCCTTAATTAATAATTTAAAGATTCTCACAATTATTGGGATCATCTAGAGAGAGTCTTTTTGGCCCAATAGATCAAAAAAAACGTAACCAATAATCATGAACATGTTATGGAAATTCTAGATCGTGTATTAACTCTTATTACATAACGTAAGCCCTATAGCAGTTTGGCCGGCATTTCGAATCATTTAGAAGCTTTTCAAGATTCATTTTGTTCTTGTTTTTAAACAATATCTATGTAACCATGAGGGATTTTCGATGATTCGTATCAATGGACCATTTCAACGTCAAAGCTATAACTAACTTGTTTTACTTTGTAATCTTCTCACTTTTTGTTCTATCTATATACTTATCACTTTATATAATGCTCATTATCTAGTCGTTCATAACCATACACAACCAAACATCCAAGAAAATATGAACTCTCACTCAAATTTCATGTTCTACATTTCACTGGTTTTTCTCTTTGTATACAAAGCCATGGGGAGCGAACCTATTGATACCACCTTAGGGTTTGTATCACAACCACTCGGTCGTTCCAATTTCCGTATACAAAAGCCATATAATCTTCCAGTTGACCAACGATACAGCTTTATCAAAGGAGTCCACAAGCTTTGGGTATTCAAGACAGACAAACCTCACACAAGGAAAAGCAAAACTAGCCCACGTACTGAGATTCGCATCCAGGTAAAGATATTGTCATCCATCTTAATTGCTTCTGTTAATTCTTCTTCATATTGATAGAGAGTCACGACATATATATGTTATAGGCTACTTGAGTTGACTAACATATATATTTTTATCTTTATTATGAAGGGTTATGATTACTCTTCGGGTGTTTGGCAATTCGAAGCATATGGATATGTGCCTAGTGGTACTAACGGGGTGAGCGTAATGCAAGTTTTTGGGTCAAAACCCCCATATGCTACAACCACAATGCTTACAGTATACAATAATAATCTTTACTATTACAGAAGGAATGTTATTCTTTCTAATTTATACAACAAGTGGTTTCGTTTAAATGTTATACATGATGTGGAAGGCAACAGTGTTAAAATCTATATAAATGGGGTTCTTAGACTTGAAGATCGACCTGGACGTAGTGGACCCAACGTACATCATTATTTCAAGTGTGGAGTCTACTCGCAAAACGATGGCTCCTCCTATATGGAGTCCCGTTGGAAGGATATTAAAATCTTCAGACTACGTAATTAATCTTTGGATTTTTTAATTATGTTAAATTTCAAGATATGATGATAAATTTATGGTACTCTTGAATCTTCATGTTCATGTCTTTCAGTTGATTTCCACTTGCCGCCATGTTTTATAATACTTTCCTATTTTATTCACTACTTTTTTAACAGCAAAAAAAATATATTATAGAATTAGTAATGAGCCTATAAATAATACAAGGCCTCAAAAAGCCATAGTTGAATCCTTAATCCATTCTATTCATTTAACATTATTCTTATCGTACTTTACTAGAAAATCAAAAGAACGATTGTGACAAAAGATTATCAAAAAGAGTAACATTTGTATGTTTCTAAGGATGCCTACTAGAAAATCAAACGGATGTTTCCTTAATTCTAGGCAGCCATATTTTAAAAGAATTTGGATAGTAGCTACCAGATGAATGAGAATAGTGGCGAGTGTAGAACAGAAAACCATGTGGTTCCTTATTAGTGGCAAATCTAAAAAGAAAATCATGTAGTTCCCTAGCTAACTGAAATCGATAAAAATAAAAGTGTCAACGATGCTTGTGAAGAACCTGGTCGTATACCCTATAAACAACTCTTTTAGTTGTACTCTTACAAATATTTTTTCTAGAATCTTTTTACAGACCATATGTGTTCACAATTCACATTCTCCCAGTTTATAAAAACATAATTAAAGAGACAAGAGCAAAACGAGAGACTAAACTTGTTAAAGAAAGAAATGTACATATAACAAAACCTCAAAGACGAGATGAGCCGTGGGCGATGGAGAGTGAGAGTTATTGACATTTTCCGGCTTCAATTATAAAGCGACGGAGACGAGCAGATGGGGTTAGGGGTTTTTTAATTTTTACTTTAAGGTTTCTTGATCTATTTTTTGATTTTTTTTTATGGTTTATAAAAAGTTAACAGTGAGCATGACTTATGGGCTTCTTTTTTATTAGTAGTTTCTTTGTTTTTATAATTACAGTAAACAGTAAAAAAAAATTATTATTTTAATTGTAAATCTGCTGCTAACAATTTACCGATTTTCCTCGGTTTAAAACATTTTTGGACTGTTTTAGTCATAGGAAAGACCCTAAACTCTCAATATCTTTAGTAGGTTATTAAACAAAAAAACGTAAGGTGGTTCCATATACGAAACACCCTAAACATTTTTGGACTGTTTTAAATGAGTGTGCTTTGATAATTTGAATATGTGAAATAATAATTATGGTTACACGTCAATGTTTACTGAAAATTAATGGTGTGGACCAAATTTGCAATTTGTCAAACAAATCCGACAACCTACAGATCCACATTACAGGCTTAGGTGGCTTCGATGGCTTTTTTCTATTCTAAAAGAATTTATTAGATATACCATTAAATTCAGAAGTAGACAAGATCCTATTTTGCTTTGTCAACGTTCCATCTACTCTTTGCATAATTGCATAATAACTTTAGCCATCAAATGATTGAAATTTTTGTCGACCACATACTAAGTAAGTAATTTAATTAGTCAGAATTTTTTATATTGTGAAATTAAGTAACTTAATTAATCATAATTTTTTATATTGTGATGAAATTATATTACACTTATGTTGAACTAACATTACTCAGTTTCACTTTTAATCAATTTTCCTTGTAAAAATAGCTAGGGAGAATAAAAAAAGGAAAGAAAAAAGTTGCCAAGTATAAATTAGGGGGCACAAATCATCAATTTTCAAAAAATAACATGGCAAAGCAAATAATATCTTCGTCAAACTTGTTATCTTTCACTCTAGCTCTACTAATCATAATGCTCTCCCCCATACCAAATCTTGCTTCTACTTCTTTGGAGGAAGCCAATGCTCTTCTTAAATGGAAAGCAAGCCTTGAAATCCCAAACAACTCCTTGCTCTCTTCATGGCTTCCCCACCCTTCAAATTCCAATGCATCAATTCCATGCACTTCATGGTTTGGAGTAGTTTGCAATGCTAATTGGAGGATTCAGAGGTTGAGCCTCAGTTCATCTGGCTTAAAAGGTACACTCCACCAGTTTTCATTCTCTTTGCTACACAATCTTACACATCTTGATCTCAGTGTAAACAACTTCACCGGACCCATCCCATCACAAATCCAACTCCTATCCAAACTTGTTTATCTTAATATTTCATTGAAGAACTTTTGTGGAGTAATCCCACGTGAAATAGCAAATATTCGCCAGCTAACCGACTTGGACCTTTCCAAAAACAATCTAATTGGTTCCATTCCACAAGAAATAGGAACCATGGTGTCACTTAAGGGCATAAGCCTCGCTTTAAACCATATATCTGGCTTAATTCCTTCATCATTGGGTGATCTAACATCTTTGAATATCCTTTATTTGTTCTATAATAAACTCTCTGGTTGCATTCCCAGTGAACTTGGGAATTTGAAGTCTCTCACTGATCTTGAGTTGAGCCTAAATCAACTTAGTGGTTCTATTCCTTCATCACTAGCAAACCTCAGCAACCTACAACGTCTGTTCCTCGTTTCAGGTTCAATTCCAGAAGGACTCGGAAGGTTAGATTTGATTAAGCTAGAATTGGATGACAATCAGTTGTCTGGCAATTTGCCTGATGATCTGTGTCATGGGGGGATGCTTCAAAAATTGACAGTATCAGGTAATCAACTCACTGGTCCTATTCCAAGAGGTTTATTGAATTGTCCTAGCTTAATAAGAGTTCGTTTTGATCATAATCAATTAAGTGGAAATATATCGAATAGCTTTGGGTTCTATCCAAGCTTAGCTTACCTTGATATCAGTCACAATCATTTTCATGGGGAGCTTTCTCAAAACTGGAGTAAATGCAAGAATTTAACAGTCTTAAATATGGGATACAACAACATCAGTGGTTACATACCTCGAGAGTTTGGAAGTTCAACTCAACTAAGAAAGCTTAATCTTTCTTCAAATCATTTTATTGGTGAGATCCCAAAGGAGTTGGGGAAGATGACAAGTATGTTGTATTTGTCTTTGGCTGATAACCATCTTTCAGGTATTATACCTCCAGAGCTTGGATCACTGCATGATCTCCTTGCTATCGATCTGTCCTCAAATAGATTAAATGGCTCGATACCAAGAAGTGTTGGCAATTGGACACACATCTACAACTTGAATCTTAGGAACAACAAGCTCATTGATAAAATTCCATCTGAGATTGGTAAATTAGTTCAGCTTACAGAACTTGATTTATCTCAGAATTTGCTCAAGGAAGAGATACCATCTGAAGTACAAAGTTTGCAAAGTTTGCAAAAATTGAATCTATCACACAATAGACTGTCTGGTTCTATTCCTGATTCTATTAAAAGTTTGCCACGTGGGACTGATATCGACTTGTCTTACAATGAGCTCACAGGTCCAGTTCCCACTAACACTAACTTTGTGAATGTGTCCATAGAAGGCAATCTACATTTGTGTGGAAATTTTACAGGACTAAAATTTTGTGCAAGTCAAATCTCGAAGAAGAAAAATGATCCCTTTCATCATCAACTCATCCTTGTAATTATGCTCCCTCTTATCGGGGCAATTTTACTTGGTTTTTTCATGTGTGGCCTCATTGCTTATCGAAAACGAAAGAGACATTCTCCACAGAAACCATTGGACAAAGAAGGTGGTGATTATTTCTCCATAACAAGCTTTGATGGAGGAGTAGCGTATGATGACATCTTGAAAGCAACAAATGATTTTGATGAAGCATACTCTATTGGAACTGGAGGATATGGGATTGTGTACAAAGCCGAGCTACAGCCTAACAATGTGCTAGCTGTCAAAAAACTTCACTCATCATCTGAGAATGTTGATCATAATGGATTCCTTAATGAGGTAGGATCATTAACGAACATAAGGCATCGAAACATAGTAAAACTCTATGGATATTGCTCCCATGTTCGCCACTCATTTTTGATTTATGAATACCTTGAAAAGGGAAGCCTTGGATCAATCTTAAGAAGCGATGTCTTAGCAAAGGAATTGGATTGGTTGAAAAGGGTCAATATTGTAAAGGGTGTAGCTAATGATTTGGCTTATATGCATCACGACTGCTCACCTCCTTTAATCCATAGAGACATTTAAATTTCCAACATCCTTCTTGATTCTGATTATGAGGCACATATTTCTGATTTTGGCACATCCAAGCTTTTAAAGCTAGACTCATCAAACTGGACCGCAATTGCAGGCACCTATGGTTATATCGCGCCAGGTAACCTAATCTTGTGATTGCAGTTCTGCATCTTCTTTAGTTTCATGATATATATAAATTTATATAAGTGCATGTATGTATTTATGTTAGAATCTTGTGTTAGGATCGAGACACTAACACGAAACTCTCTCTCTCAGCTCACGAATTATAGAAAAACAAGAACACAATGATTTATAGTGGTTCGGTCGATTTCTGACCTACGTCCACTCTTGGTAACTAGGAATATATTCTATTGATCTTGATACACCGTTTACAAATACATATGATTACTATATATAGAGATTGAAATTGCAAGTTGTCAAAAGTAGCTGCTAATCATGATCCGTGAAACATGGTGCCATGATTTCTTGCATGTTTTCTGCCTTTACTTTTGTCTGCCACTAAACAAGTGGCTTCACCACTCAACAATCTCCCACTTGAAGCCACAGAACAATTTTCACCTGTGCTTCAGCTGTGCATCTGTATTTCTGTAAAACGATTTTGACCTTGACTCCATCCTAATTACCCGGCCTTCTCTTCAATTATCCTGAAGGCCAGTTGAAGCTATGCAAAGCTTTAACTTTTCTAAGGTGACAACCTTAGTCAACATATCAGCTGGATTTTCAGTTCCTTTGATCTTACTCAACTTCAGAGTGCCATCATTAATTCTTTCTCTGATGAAGTGATATCTCAGCTGTATGTGCTTTGTCTTCGAATGGAAGACGGGATTCTTTGCAAGATGAATTGCACTTTGATTATCACAAAATAATGCACAATCATCTTGTTCTTTGCCAAGTTCGTTGAGAAAATTCTTCAACCATATAAGCTCTTTGCTTGCTTCAGCAACTGCCATATACTCTGCTTCTGTGGTTGAAAGGGCAACACTTTTCTGTAGTTTGGACATCCAACTTACTGCAGTGCCGCCTACTGTAAAGACATACCATGTGGTGCTTTTGTATGAATCTTTACAACCACCAAGATCTGCATCTGCATAACCATTCAAAACTACGTCTTTTCCCTTAAAATTTAATGCCGTCTTTGAAGTCCCTTTCAAGTATCTCAACAACCATTTAACTGCTTCCCAATGTTCTCTTCCCGGATTGGACATGAATCTACTAACAACTCCCACTGCATGAGCTATATCTGGTCTCGTGCATACCATTGCATACATGAGGCTACCAACTGTGGATGCATAAGGAACTTTAGCCATTTCTTTCTTGTCTTCATCTGATCTGGGTGACTGAGCTTTAGAAAGCTTAAAGTGACTTCCCAAAGGTGTGCTTCTGATCTTGGCATCTTTAAGGCTGAATTTCTCTAATACTTTCTCAAGGTACTTGTCTTGAGATAGTGTTAAAGAACCATCTTTGTTGCTGAATATACTCATCCCGAGTATTTGCTTTGCAGCTCCCAAGTCTTTCATTTCGAACTCTTCAGACATCTGTTTCTTCAACTTCTTGATCTCTGACATGTCTGAACCGGCAATCAACATATCATCTACATAGAGTAGTAGAATGATATAAGAACCCTTAAACTTCTTGATGTAACAACAATGATCATTGTCACATCTCTTGTAACCAACTTTTCTCATGAAGTTATCGAACTTCAAATACCATTGTCTGGGTGCTTGTTTCAGACCATACAAACTCTTCTTCAATTTACACACCAAGTTTCCTTTGCCTTTATCCTGAAAACCCTCTGGTTGTGTCATGTAAATGTCTTCATCTAGGTCACCGTGTAGAAAAGTTGTCTTGACATCTAGTTGCTCTAGATGCAAACTTTCTGCTGCTACAATACTAAGAACAAGTCTGATAGTGGTCATCTTCACTACTGGAGAGAATATTTCATTGAAATCAATTCCCTCTTTCTGTTGAAAGCCCTTGACTACTAATCTTGCTTTGTACCGTTTGGTACCATCATGTTCATCCTTGACCCTGAAAACCCATTTATTCTGAAGAGCCTTCTTCCCAACTGGAAGCTTTGTTAAGTGCCATGTGTTGTTCTTCTCAAGCGACTTCATTTCATCTTTCATTGCTAGCTCCCACTGCAATGAATCTTTCAACCCTATAGCTTCAGAGTAACACTGGGGTTCACCGTTTTCTGTCAAAAGAATGTAGTTGACAGATGGTGAGTATTTGTTTGGTGGTCTTGTGACTCTAGAAGATCTTCTTAGTTGAACTTGAGGTGTGACTGGGGACTCTGGAGTTGGAGGACTGGTTTCTTCATCTTCAGAATCATTACTGGAATTATCCCCTGAGCTCCCACTGTCAGTTGAATCATCCCCAGATTCAGGGATTTCGACTGGAGCTTCTTTCTTCTTTTCAACACCTTCAAACTCAACATACTCCTTCTGATCTTCTGGACTTTTGTTGTTTCTGTCTTTGTATAACTCGGCTTCGTTAAAGGTGACATTCTTGCTTCGGATTATCTTTCTGCTCTCACTATCCCAAAGCCTGTAACCCATTTCATCCGACCCATAACCAATGAATGTACACTTCTTGGTCTTTGAATCAAGTTTATCCCTGTCACCATCTTTTAACAAACTGTAAGCAGTACAACCAAAGACTTTCAGGTGTTTGAGACTTACTTCCTTCCCTTGCCACATTTCTTCTGGTAATTTAAAATCCAAGGGAACACACGGTGAACGGTTGATCAAGTAGGCTGCAGTATTAACTGCATCAGCCCAAAATGTCTTAGGTAAACCAGAATTCAACCTCATGCTTCTAGCCCTTTCATTCAGAGTTCTATTCATTCTTTTAGCTACACCATTCTGCTGAGGGGTTCCTGGGACCGTCTTGATCATCTTTATCTCTTGCTTGGCACAATAGTCAACAAACTCCTTGCTTATGTATTCACCACCATTATCCGACTTCAGGCATTTTACCTTCAAATCAGTTTCATTTTCAACAGCAGATTTCCATATCTTAAAAGTATCAAATACATCATATTTATTTTTAAGAAAATAGACCCATACCTTGCGTGTTGAATCATCGATAAAGGTTACATAGTAGTTTTTGCCTCCTAGAGATGAAACTGGTGTTGGTCCAAATACATCCGAGTGAACAAGCTCCAACTTCTGAGCTTTCGGTGTCTTCCCCGTTTTTACAAAAGTAACCCGCTTTTGTTTCCCGAGAACACAAGATTCACAAAATTCAGTTTCGACTTTCTTCAAGTCTGGAAACTTTCCTTTCTGAGCCAACATCTTCAATCCCTTATCGCTCATGTGTCCGAGTCGTTGGTGCCATAAATTAGATGGACTCGGATTGGTGGTTACGGCATGAACACCATCACCAGGTATCTCTACCATGTATAGAGTACCTTTCTTCTTTCCTTTGGCAATCACCAAGTTGCCTTTGATCACTTTCCATTGTCCACCCCCAAAGTGAACATCAAGTCCTTCATCATCCAACTTACCAACTGAAATCAACTTTCTCCTTAAGTTTGGGATAACCCTGACATCTTTCAATGTCCAGGTGGTTCCCATGGAGGTCTTCAAATCTACGTCTCCTATACCCGTAATATCAAGCACTTAATCATCGGCCAAACTAACTTTGCCAAAGTCACCTGTTTGTAGGTTCTTGACCATATCTGGGCATGAGACAGCATGGAAAGAAGCACCCGAATCCATAATCCAGGATTCCATTGAATTCTCAACACAACATATGAGAAAATCTCCCGATTCTTCAGAGGATACATTGTGTACTTCTTTCTTTTCAACTTATGGTTTTGGAATTCCAACATTCAATATCTTTTCGGTTCTTGGACTGCCCCCTTTTTCTAGACTTTGATCTGCCTCGACTACGTCCTCTTTCGTTTCTTCTTCCTCTACTTTTTGTATGCAATAAAGAACTAGAACTAGAAGTCTCACCATTGCTTCTCCGTCTGATATCTTCATTTACAATCAAGTCACGAATACTCTCGAAAGTGAGTTTAATAGTGTCGGATGCACTACTAACAGCTGTGACGCTGCCTGACCAACTATCGGGCAAAGATGATAAAAGGAGGAGCGCTTGTACTTCATCTTCAAACTTTATTGCAACTGAGGCTAAACGAGAGATAATCGAGTTAAACTCGTTTATGTGAGCGGTAACTGACATGCCTTCCTTCATTTTGGTGTTAACCAATTGTTTGATGAGGAACACTTTGTTAGAAGCGGACGGCTTCTCGTACATGTTGGACAAAGCCTTAAATACTCCATAAGTAGTTGTTTCATTAACAATGTTATACGCAACACTCTTTGCCAATGAAAGCCTAACTACACCCAAGGCTTGTCGATCCAACAACTTCCATTCTTCATCATACATGTCATCCGGTTGTTCGCCCAACATAGGCAAATGCAAACTTTTCTGATACAACATATCTTCAATTTGCATCTTCCAAAATCCATAATCGGTTCCATCAAACTTGTCAATTTTGATTTTACCATCTTCTGCCATTTTTGCAATTTTCTGAAAGAACAGGACCTGTCTTGCAATTTTCTGAAACTTCAGGGACCTGTCTTGCAATTTTCTGGAACTTCAGGACCTGTCTTTGCAATTTTCTGAAACTTCAGGGACCAAATCTGAGTTTTTCAAATTCTGCTACAGTGTCGCTACAGTGTCGTCTTCTCCGGCAGGTCTCCGGCGTACAGTGTCGTCTTCTCCGGCAAGGCTCCGGCGCTACAGTGTCGTCTTCTCCGGGGAACTAGTTTTCCCGGTCACTATTCCGGCGAACCTTTGACCGGCGATTTGGACGTCTTCCGGTGGTCGAAAAATTCAAAAAAAAATATTTTCGGAATCTTCGGAACGAGACCTTTCCAACGGTATACACCAAAATCGTTTTTGACGAAAACAAATTTCGACCAAAAAAACTGAAAATCACCTTCTGGAGCTAAACCAACGCTCTGATACCACTTATTAGGATCGAGACACTAACACGAAACTCTCTCTCTCAGCTCACGAATTATAGAAAAACAAGAACACAATGATTTATAGTGGTTCGGTCGATTTCTGACCTACGTCCACTCTTGGTAACTAGGAATATATTCTATTGATCTTGGTACACCGTTTACAAATACATATGATTACTATATATAGAGATTGAAATTGCAAGTTGTCAAAAGTAGCTGCTAATCATGATCCGTGAAACATGGTGCCATGATTTCTTGCATGTTTTCTGCCTTTACTTTTGTCTACCACTAAACAAGTGGCTTCACCACTCAACATCTTGTGGGATTGATATAATCTTTTTTGTTTTTATTTTATGTTTCTTTGGATTTAGAGCTTGCTTATACAATGGTGGCAACCGAGAAATGTGATGTGTTTAGCTTTGGGATTGTTGCACTAGAAGTGATCATGGGAAAGCATCCCGGTGAACTACCAACATTGTCTGCTGATTATCTGGTGTTAGCAAATGTAGGAGATAGTCGGATTCCACTTCCATCGCCACAAGCTGAGAAACAAGATAAGTTGGTGTTGAGTCTCTCAAGAGCATGTTTGAACTCCAATCCAAACGGAAGACCAACAATGCGCCAAGTTTCAAATCTATTGATGAAGGATCTGCTTTAAATTGACATTTGTTGTCTGATCGATATAGTGTACTTTCAATGTTCTTTACTTTTATCAAGTTCCCTATATGCATCATGTCAATATATATGTATTCGTTTGAATGCCTTTTTGTTAAGAAACTTTAGATATGTTTGTAATAGGTAAACAGATAAGTCAATGAGATTGCTATACTTCTAAATCTCACTACCGGAAACCAAGGGCAAGGTCATACACAAATCTCCCAAACAAGAAATTATGTAAAATTTGTTGTTATACTTATATCTGTTTGCATTGGGAAATTTTGTGAGACACTTGGCATTTATTATAAATGAGAGGTGTCGTTACAAAGATGGCAAATTTTAAATATTAAGAAAAAAATTCAAATATTAAAGCAATTTAAACGTACAGCCTGGAAATTTTTTGACTCCCCACTCCATGTCTCCGGTCCTAGCATGCATTTGACCTATTGAGTTCCAATTAACATTTACACTTGTATTATAACTAATTAAATCCTTCAAACAAAACATACATGATTTCACACTACAATAATATTGACCATTAGTGGCGACGGGCGTCGCCGCTAAAGGTCCCGAATGTCACCGTTAATACTTGTAGCGGTGACCCGTTGCCGCTAATGGGTCGCCGTTGTTAGCTCGTCGCTAATGCTCCAATTGCCGCCGCTAATGTTTACCGTCGCCACTAATGCCTTGTCACCGATGTCACCGATGATACTATCCGTCGCCACTAAAAGTGTCGCCGCTAATTGTAGTTTTCTCTTTTCTTAGTTTTTTGAAAACGTTCCTTCCATATACAAAACAAATGTTATAAAATTATAAAAAAAACCGTTATAAAAAATATAAAAATGTGATAAAAACATATAGCCAAAAACACATACATACATACATACATACTCAAATACATAAATAATACACATATAAAAACACATACATACATATATAATACATATACAAAAACACATATACATACATGATACACATACGAATACACAAATACATACATAATACACATACAAAAACATATATATATATATATATATATATATATATATATATATATATATATACACACACACATACAAGATATACATACAAATACACATACATATACAAAATATACATTCTTCGTACAAAAATTAAAATAAACATATATAGAACATGTGGTGGTGTGTAATCCGGTGGAGAAGAGTGGTGGTGGACTGGTGGCGGTATTCCGGAAATAAGACCAATTTTCCGGCCAATTTCCGGCAGACAACAACAAATTCCGGCAGATCTTTAGCAATTCCAGCAAAGGACCGAAACAATCTGACACCACCAACGAGTATGTCACATAGGGAGAAGATAAAGAATAAGAAAAACAGAAAAGGAGTTGTTGCCAGAGTGGTGAAGAGAAAAGAGTCACAGAAAAAGAAAGAATGAGTTGAAGGAGGTTATATCTGCGAAGAGAATTAGCGGCGACGGCTTTTAGTGGCGATAGATAAAGTATTAGCGGCGACATATCGAGTATTATCGGCGACACCTTTGGCAGTGTCGATGATGAGGTTGTGCAACCTGTACACATGCATAGGGCCTTCATCTTTTAGGGGCCCAAAAAAAAATTAATACTAATATACTATATCAGTTTTAGCCCAAAGTAAAGTCAATGCAAAATAGACAAATAGTCCACTAATGGGTCATGTAAAGCAGAAGGCGACATGAGCAATGTGATAAAACCAATTCGTAAATCGTTATTCACTAATTCTCCTTCTGCTCTAAGCCTCTATTCCTCTAAGCGACACAACAAGTCAGCAAACGACAACAACATCAAAGGAGATCGACAACTCAGCCTCAGCGAGACAGGCAAACAGCAACGACAGCAGCATTCAAGGGCAGCAGTCGGTTTTAATTTGTATTCTGTAATCACTAATTGTCTAATCAGGTTGACAATCACTCAGGTAAACGATTATATCAAATTTAATTTTACAATTTACGGTTTATCAGTTAGATAGTTAGACAATTATCATTATCAATTACAATATATTGACAGATTTAGTTTTTATCAGTTTTAATGTTTTATCAATTATCATTATCAGTTTTCCTTGAAATCTTGATTCTTGATTCTTGAATACTTGAAATCTTTAATGTTGAAATCATGAATGTTGAATCATGAATGAATGTTGTCATTGTTGGAATCCTAAACTAACTCAAAAACTGAAAATTGGAATGTTCTTCCCAAAATACCCCTGGGTCATATAATTGATTCAATCATTCAATGATTCGCGAATACTTGAAATTAAATTTTGAAATCTTGAATTTTGAATCATGAATGAATGTTGTTACTGTTGGAATCCTAAACTAACTCAAAAACTGAAAATTGGAATGTTCTTCCCAAAATACCCCTGGTTCATATTATTGATTCAATCATTCAATGATTCGCGAATACTTGAAATCTTAAATGTTGAAATCTTGAATGTTGAATCATGAATGAATGTTGTCATGTTTATTGCTAGAAAGTTTATCGTCGTTTTAAAAAATATCAATTTATGTAATTTTATTCATTCTTAGGAAGGAACTCGACGAGTTGGAGGCCCCAAACTCGTCGAGTAGGAAATGGATTTGGACGCGGGTTTTGAAGTCTACTCGATGAGTTGGAAGCCTCAACTCGACGAGTAGGACTGCCATAGTGAACCCTAATTTCAGGGTTTTGCACCCTATTTAAACACATTAATCCCTAAAGACTGGCCTCATTTACAGCCTCCAAGTCCCAAAGCCCTAGCCACGAAACCCTAGAGCCTTGTGTGAGCTTGTGAGACCTTTTTGAGAGAAAACTTGTACTTTTGAAGCTTGTGGAAGAAGAGGAAGCTAGAGGACCCAAGAAGAAGAGAGTAGATCCATAAACTTCACTCCATTTGCAACATTTTTGGGTAAGCAAGTCTCAAACTTTCTCAATGATTTCTTAGATCTCTTCATTTCACTTTTTATGGGTAAGCAAGTCTCAAACTTCACTCCATTTGCAACATTTTTGGGTAAGCAAGTCTCAAACATTTTTGGGTAAGCAAGGAAGAAACTTTACGTGTTCAAATGATGTCTAGGGTCTAGATCTCAGTTTGTATGCCTTAGTTCGAAGTACATATGGCTTTAGGATCAAGATCTACATCTTGAAGAATTAGGGTTTGAGCTAAACCCAATAAAGAAAGCTATTAACGGGTAAAGTTGGAAACTTTACCTTTAAAATGACCTTTTAAGTGTGTAGAAGAAGTGTGGAGTCCAGATCTGAAGGTTAGGAGCTTAATCTATTAAGATGGCTCAACAGACTGAAGAACTCGTCGAGTCCATAGAGGAACTCGACGAGTGGGGTTGAAATGTCTCGATTCTGTAAAGGGAAAACTCGACGAGTAGAATAGGAAAGTCCTGATATCATGGATAGGAGGAACTCGACGAGTTGTGAAAGAACTCGACGAGTTGGATCGAGAGTTCAGAGTTCTCGGATCTATGGAACTCGACGAGTTGATGGGTTAACTCGGCGAGTTGAGTCAACCCAGAATGTTGACTTTGACCAGACTGTTGACTTTGACCAGGGGTAAAATGGTCATTTTACCCTATTGGATTTTGACTAAGAGTTAATATGTTAATGATAGCCGAGGAGTTGTTGGAGCGGCCGTTAGAGATTCCTCACCGTGAGATTTCACAGTCAGCTTTGCGAGGTGAGTTTCCTTCAGTAGGAACGGGTCGAAGGCACCAATGCCGACCCGTGTAGAGTATGTATGATGATTAGTAGCTAAGTGTGGGCAGGGACCGTATCTTATACTTGTTATTATTAGTAGCTAAGTGTGGGTAGGGACCGTATCTTAGACTTGTTATGATTAGTAGCTAAGTATGGGCAGGGCCCGTATCTTAGTATTATCTGAGTATGATTATGAATTGGTAGATTATGGTATACGTGTTGTCTGCATGATACTTGTATGTATGTTTAGATAGCGGGGTATGGGCGGGGGCCTGTACCTCCTAGCCAGCTGAGTGTGGGGGAGGCCCGTACCTTATAGTTAGCCGAGTGTGGGCGGGGGCCCGTATCTCCTTGAGTGTGGGCGAGGCACGTATCTCCTAGTCACATGTTATATGTTATGTGTATGGTATGTGGTAGTTTGAGGAGACTCACTAAGCTTCGTGCGTATAGTGTTCAGCTTTGGTTTCAGGTACTTCTGGTAGCAAAGGGAAGAGCTTGGGATGACTGCATTGCACACACCACAGTGTTTAGCCTGGGAGGATTTACTCTGATATTTTGATATGTGATTTTGATACAGTGTTTTGACATGATGTTTTGAGATATTACCACTTATGTTTTTATGAGATGATTGGATTACTATGGTTTTATTATAAATAAAAACGAAATTTTTGGACCGTATTCTTGGGATGTTTCAATATCGGAGGTAGGGTTTGTTTAGCATACATGGTATATTGTTTGGAAATCCCACTTTAAACATCTCACTAAATCCAACCTAGACATTATTCACATATATAGATTAATCAGTATAATGATTTGGAATCACCGATAAATATTATTTATAGGTTCATAATAATGACTATGAACATAAATATAAGTTACTCTTGAAATAAAATAAGTGCAACTTAACTTACAAGAATTTTAGAGAAAACCGGGAGAATGCACAGACAGGACTCCAAAACCGAAAGCTTCTATTTTCCAGACACCTAGACCCCTCAGAAGCTTTCTAAATATCCAAAGGAATCCCAAAACAGTTCCTGTGGTGGGGCCCATATCAATTGTTATACACTTACATTTGGACGACCACTTTTGTCATAATGAATTGCATATCTATTCAGCTCTCCAATCTCATAAAACAGTTCCTGTGGTGGGGCGCATATCAATTGTTAAACTTAAAGAAAATATAAGAAAAGAAAAGAAATTGGTAATAGTTGATAGTTGTGTTACCCTTATATCTTCATTAGTGACTCCAATGTCTAAATTGGAGACATATAATTTTGCAGCATTATCCAATCCTGGTAGACCTACGAGCCTTACTGGTCCTCATGCCTTTCGCTACGTGTCGTCGTCGTACTTGTCAACCTCACTTCCTTCTAGAAAC